ACAAGACCTCGACGATATTTCCCCACGGATCGGCCAAGTAAAGACACTTGACGCCAACGTTACCGGGGTCGACGGTCTGGCCAACCTTCTTACCACCGGCTCCTACGACCCTGTCCGCCAGGGCGTCCGGGTCGGGATCGGTGACACAGACATGAAAGAAGCCGGCGCGCTCGTACTGGAATTCGCGCTCCGCAGCGACCGGCTTGGGGTCCACAAACTCGAACACCTCAAACCCGACGCCATTCCCGGTCGACATGTACGCCAGCTTCACTTCGTTGAGGTTTGACGGGTAGATGCCAAAGATGGCCGCGTCCGGGTCCGTCGACCGTTTGATGTGCGCGATCTTGCCGAGAAGTCGGAACCCAAGGTGGGTGCTGTACCAGTCTACCACGGCCTGGACATCCGGCACTGATACTGCCACATGGTTGAGCGGGCGATTCCAAGTCTTCTAGAGAAAAAAATGTTGAGAGGCTCGTTAGATCGATGAGTTTGACCACTTTGCTCGGGAGAGCAGTTTCGAGCCTTACGGGCCCTTATCTCGGCCAGGGGACTCGACTTACGGCTTCTGACATTTTGGGTTCTAACTTAGAGACGAGTGGCGGACTCTCTCTGTGGGTGGCGGCTGTCCTAGGTACACAGTATACCGGTGCTGCTCTCTGCTCTCTGCTGTGGCTGTGCACTAACGCTTGAACTCTTAAATATCCATAGATCCTTGATCCTCCAGGGGACCAGCTAGTTAGAGTGCACGTAGACTTTGAAAATGCGGGCTTCTATCAGACACCGGCTATATGACCCTAACATTCCATTGAACCACACCGGGTAACAGGAGTATGATGACCTGCCAGTTCCCGGATCCAATTTTCTTCCCCGAGCTTCGGCTTCGTTCGGGTTTCCCCAATAGGTCAGGCAGTCAAGCGCTTTCGCGCACATGGTCCGTGAATGTGCCGAACACTAAGCATGGTAGATATGTAGGACCGAACAAGGAAAAACAGGGGCCCAGCCTCGTGGATCAGCTTTGCTAACGCCTCACAGAGCCTCGGTGTGCCATGGGCAGGGGAAATATTGTCTTTGAACAGCATCAGAAGAGATATTGACAGTTTGAAGTCTGTGCAGTTGTAGTTATACTTCGCTAAAATATAGCTATCGCTCCTGGCGGACTTCCAACACCACCTTTGACGTGCAAGGGTGCACTGGTCACGAAGAACGTCCAACGTTGCTGCCTCTCGCACTCGGCAGCCAGGCCCTCGAGATTCCAAAGCTCGCCAATGGGGGCTCCCCACCAGACCAGGGACCATTCGTGGATGATCCATTGGCCCAGGTGTGGTGGTGGCCAGGCCTCGAATGCGACCGTGTCTCCAATGTGGGCGGAAAAGTGCTGGCTATACAACCACTTGACCATCTCTTCGTTGTTGGCCACCCCGATGGCTTTCTTGTCAGTGCCAAAGGTCCCCAGCTTGCGTTCCTCCGTGGAAGCGCCATTGTGCTGGCGAACATACCCTGATCGAACCATGAGCAAATCTCCCTGTTTTGGTGTCGTCCCCTGGTCTGCCAAAGCGGCCTTTAGATCTGCCACGGGGATTTCAAATCGTTCCCATGCATTTGGGGCTTTGCCATCTCGCTTTTCGTAAAATCGAACCTGCGCGGATGACGAATCAGGTGTTCAGAACGACAAGTGAGATGGGCTGCGGGAGCAGATTGAAGATTAACCAACCATGTCGATGAGGATGCCACGCCCGACGATGCCGCCACGTTCGCACCAGTCTATACCGATGATCAGAGCGCCGTTATTTGAAGCTCACCAGCGATCTGGGACTCACTGTGAATGCCGTTGGTGTTGGACGTAAGAGCATCCTCAAAAGTCAACCCATTGTAGAAGACTTTTCCGGGTTGATACGCGTGCTGGAAGTAGACATCAGCAAGTTCATCATGCTCCAGACCGACAGATCGTCCGAACCCTTTGCCCGTCCGTCCGTCAAATACGTACATGCTTCAGGCTGTCCCATTGCGAGCCGCTCTGCGTGTTTATGTGGATCTCGTCGTCAAATCCGTAGGCCCCCAGACTTTTGGAGAGATCAATGACTTTCTGCTCAAATGGTTTCCGGTGGAAGCCTGGGAACTCTAGATTTTCCAAAGCCCAATCCAGTTGAACATGGCGACCAGTCCTGATCTCGAGGCTCGCAGCACGGACAACCGCCGGCGTCAGCAAATTAATCGCTATCGTCTCGTCAGTTTGCTCTCCCGTGCTTCTTGGTTCGAGTACCCAATCTGCTCACCGCCGACTTCGTCTTTCTTGCCATCTCTGTCGTACATGCCCCAAACACATCCTTGTGGAGTGCCAGTAACAGCTGGCAAACCTTCAAACACAGGAAATGTGTATTGTGGTTCCGAAGCCATGGTTTTCACTGATAGTACCCCCCCGACAATTCCAACCAGTTGGTCGTAGTTTATTGACAGGGGTAGTCGTCAAAGAACAACAAATCTAAGTGATCCGTGGAATCCCCCGTATTCCCGGCTGGTCAAGGTTTCAAAAGTCGCTATCGAGTATTCGACCTGTTGCCCTCGAGCTTCTGTAGCTTCCCCTCTCGAGAGGTCACATAGCCGAGGAAAACTTGCCATAGTGGCTCGGCTTGAGATACTCCAAGACAGTCAATGAGTACGGAAAAGGAATTCCGCCAGCGCACTTCACCTTTGTACGACAGCAACAAATCCCGGCATGTGCACCTAATTTGTCCTGGCAGGACCTTCATCGCACGGCGGTGCCTCCGGTATCCATATACTTGTAGGCGGGCTGTTGTATAGGACACCGCTGAAGTTGGCCACTGTATTACCGTCCAAAGGGGATTCTATCCAAATTTGGCTTTTGGCCCGGATCCACTTCCCTTAGCTTCATTGCTCCGGCTCTCTTGAAAGGTAGTCATTGGGACTCTACTGGACCCAGAGACAACCGCTCTCGAGAAGCCAGGATTGGGGAAGGGGCCACAGTGGTAGGTAGGATTGGTGCATATCACTGCCAAACTATAGAGGCTAGTTAGCAGCCACTTGAGCAGGTTCCCGGCTCACTGTGGATGCCGAAATCTGAGATGAGTGAACCGAGGGACCGTAAGGTTATAACAAAGAATACTGGATTGTTAGAGTGACACGAACAAGAATAGTCCATCCTCAAATCTGCGTCGGAGGGCAACAGCAACCCAGCAAATCCACGATGGGTGACTACAGACCCCCATTCTCGCACCCAGCGAGCATCAAAGAAGCTATTTCTCATCACTCCCTCATCCGCGAGCAGGGCTTCATTGGAGGCCAATGGGTCAACGGAACAAAAACATTCCCTGTCTACGACCCTGCGACAGACAAAGTGATTGCCAACATCGCTGATCTCGGCGCGGAAGATTTCAAAGCAGCAATCAACCATGCTGAAGCAGCTTTCAAGGAATTCCGGGTCACAAGCGAACATGCTCGCTCGAAGATGTTGCATAAATGGGCAGCCTTGATCCGCCGCCATGCAGACGACCTCGCCGTCATTCTGACAATGGAGAACGGCAAAACCCTACCAGAAGCAGCTGGGGAAGTCGAGTATGGCGCCTCATTCATCAGTTGGTTCGCAGAAGAAGCCATCCGCTCGTATGGCGACGTGATACCTTCTCAGCATGCTCAGAGTACCAATCTGGTAGTCCGCCAGCCCATTGGTGTCTGCGGGATTATCGCGCCTTGGAACTTTCCCATCGCCATGATCACGCGAAAACTTGGACCTGCCATCGCAGCAGGCTGCACTGTTGTCATCAAGCCACCCTCGGAAACCCCTCTGTGCACCCTGGCATTGACTTACCTCGCGCAGCAAGCCGGTATCCCGGCCAATGTAATCCAGGTGGTGCCTACAAGAGATCGGTCTGCCACCACCGAGCTTTACACCAACCCGATCGTGAAGAAGGTCTCCTTCACTGGCTCCACTCCAGTCGGCAAACTGATCACGCAAGCTGCGGCCGGGACGATGAAAAAGGTGTCCATGGAGCTGGGCGGAAACGCACCGTACATCGTCTTTGACGACGCCGACCTCACTCAGGCCGTTGATGGTGTTCTGGTGTGCAAGTTCCGCTGCTCTGGCCAGACTTGCGTCTGCGCAAACAGGATCTATGTGCAGCGAGGAATCCACGACCGGTTCGTGGATGCGCTACTGGAGCGCATGCGCAACTTCAAAATTGGATCTGGTCTGGATCCTTCAGTCACACATGGGCCCCTCGTCAACCGGGCTGGGGTGGCAAAAGTCCGCGCACACATCGACGACGCCGTCAGCAAGGGAGCCAAGCTGATCGTTGGTGGGCAGGTGCCTGAGGAGAACAGTACCAATGGCAAGGGCTATTTTATTGAACCGGCACTGCTGACTGGCGTCACCCAGTCGATGCTGGTGGCCAAGGACGAGACATTCGGCCCACTGGCGCCCGTTATCATGTTTGACACGGTGGACGAGGTCATTGCCATGGCCAATGACACCGAGTTTGGTCTCGCTGGCTACTTCTTTGCCAACGATCTGCGTAAGGTGTGGAAGGTTGCACTCGCCCTCGAAGTCGGCATGGTGGGCGTCAACACCGGCAAAATCAGCGCCGCGGAGGCGCCGTTTGGAGGTATCAAAGAAAGCGGCTTGGGGAAGGAGGGCAGCATGTACGGCCTAGCTGAGTTCCAGGTTATGAAGAATATTACTTTGGGGAACTTGGGCGTGTGAGTAAACAGAAATATCCAACCAGTGGCCCCCGAGGAAGCCCGGCATGGCAGTGATACACAAGGTCAGCCAAAGATAGATCTCTGTCTAAGAAAATCACACTAGGATTTTGATCTGCCCATCACAAGAGAATGGTTAAGGGTTGCATTCCCTCCACCACCAGCAGAACAAGAGGTAGGATGCTGCCCCTGTCCGATCTGGCATCCGCTGTACGGCTCGGCACCTTAGAACGACCAAGTGAAGTCCTCAGAACTGGCTGTGCAGTAGATATCTTCATCCAAGCCCGGGTTCAGTTCCTCCCAGCGTGCATTCCACCGGTAATCAAAAGCTCACCACCCGTCATATAGCTACTAGCGGAACTGAGCAAGTAGACAGCAGCACCCTTGAGTTCCGTGCGGTCAGCCATTCGCTTCATGGGCGGCTCCGAAACGAAGACCTCGGCCAGCCCGGGCCTCGTCGCGCTGATGTCTAGCGTCATGTCGGTCATTACATAGCCCGGGGATATGCAGTTAACGCGGATTCCCGTGGTGGCCAGTTCGACGCTGAGCTGGCGACACAGTGCCAGGACCGCCCCTTTGGAGGCACAGTAGTCTGACGTGTACTGGAGCTTGGAGGCTTGGTGAGCAGCGATACTGGCGATCATCACCACGGAGCCGGCTGCCGGAGGGTGCGAAGGGGTCGGAGAGCTCGAGCCGAGGGGTGGTTGCGAGCCCATCTGCCGAACCGCAAGTTGAACGGCGTAGTAGGTGCCCAGGACGTTGATTTCGAATGTCCGCTTGACACTTGTCGGAGAACGGTCAAGGAACGGCTGATCAGGACAGATGCCGGCCGCGGTGATACTGTTCAGTCCAGGGGTGAGTTTGCCGCCTCATTTTGTGGTCATGAAAGAAGGACAGCATCGGAGTATGCCGGCTCTCAAACTGGGTAGGAGATGGGCGGGGAGAACGGGAGGGTCTGCTTACATTCCATCGATACGCTGATAGTCTTGGACGATCGCGTCGAAGGTATTCTTCAGACGTTCGTAGTCGGTGACATCCGATCTGGAGAAACAAGACACAAGTATATCAGTATCGTCATCCTTGCCCCTTGGCGTTTCTGACGTGTGGCCCAGGTGAGAACAGGTGTGGAAGACTGACTGGTAATATCCGACTTTGGCCGCTCTCTGCTTGAGGATCTCAAAATGCTCATGTGGTGCTGGCGACGCATCAACCAATGCGACTAGACCGCCGGCCTCAGCTACTGCAAATGCCAATGTCAAGCCAATGCCCCTCGCACCACCGGTGATGACTACCACGCGATCCTTAAGACTGAAGAGACTGGTCACGTCGCAGTGTAGGTAGGCATCGGTTGCAGGTTTGTCTTGCACGGTCATACCGGAAGCCGTCATGGTGTCTCCGAAGTATAGGAAGAAATGAGACGTTTGGACTGGGATAATCAGGGCCAGTGCATCACATTTCGAGGAAAAATCAATGGTACCGATAAACCTTACAAGACAATTCTTGAAACGTTTTCAGAACAGCGTTGGAGTTGTAAGAACCCCGGCTACTTCACTGTGAACTCTCGAAACCCGAAAGCTGGGACATCTGCGGAAAACCTAACCCCTAAGGCATGTTGTCCGCTATAGCCGACGTGCAACGGATCAAAAGGGGCCCAGCCTGCAGCTTGAAAGTTACATCCCAGCCATCGGCCTTGAACCCGAAGCCTACCGGCTGATGCAGATGACTTCGTGTTCTCCGCACTGGCAACTATGACTGTCTATCGAACTGTGCAGCCAAGCGGGGATTCAGTGATCCCGGCACCTCAGGTACGAGACACGCGGCCGGATATCACGACAGCTCCCAACTTGCACATCTTGCCTTGTCATCTCTCTTTCTACTTCACCGACTAGTCGATGCCTCAATAGCTTCAGAAACTTGTCTTCTCTCGAGTTTCGATCTCATTTGAACGAGGTTTGCCGTTTGCTTCAGCGGTCACCGACTGTGCCCTAACCTGCTCTCGTTGATCCTGGGGAAGGCGATCGGACTTCAAGAAGATGTAGTCAATTTCTTCCAGCCCCAGGCCCTTGGTTTCAGGAAACCAAAAGTAGATCATGGGCACGAACGCGAAGTTCTTGTACTCGTCGTCAGCCGTTGGGCCCAAGGCTCTTTGAATAAGGACAAGACTTACAAATGCCATGAAGACGAGGTAAGTCTTCCAAGTGATGTTGTGAACCAGAGTCGGCGTGATTTGGACAATCACGAAAACCTTGACCAGATTAGTATGGCTTTTGGAAAGCACGAAGTCTCTGATGGGGATAGACACACCCAAATCCAGTTGTTGAAGACAGCCAATGCGGTTCCTTGAGCGCGGAGGCGCAGTGGGAGGATCTCGGTACTGTAACACCAAGGTATAGCGTTCAAGCTGGCCCCGAATGAGAGCATGTACTGCCAAGCAGCGATTAGTCCGACGAGCATGCTTCAGCCTGGGATATATTGACTCACAGTGAGGAAAAACGCAATAGAAACGTTGGCCGTTGCCTTTCCTTTGTCCGTCCCACCGTAGGAGAGCAGGATGGCTACGGCCATCATAGAAAGACCCATTCCGATTGCGCCAAACATCATAGGCTTCTTTCGCCCGAGACGATCAGCTCCGAGAGCGGGGACCAGTGATCCGACCGCAAATGCTAGATTGAGACAGCCACCAACAACAATGGCGGTATTACGATTGAGTCCGACATTGACCTCGAGCACAGTCGCTGAATAGAAGACAATGACGTTGATCCCCGCCCACTGTGTGTCTGATTAGTATTGTCACGGTTGCCACATAACTGTATCCGAAGACCGACCTGGTTCATAAACAACACCAAGCAGGCGAGAAACACGCGCCATCCAGTCTGGACGGGATCTGGTTTGAAAATGCGAACCCATTTGAAAGGCTCTGCCTCCTCCAACTCAATGGCTCTAAGAATGTCCTGCTTCTCAGTTTCAACCACGGGATCCTCTGGTACTGTGTTCCAGACTTTGCACAGAACAGCCACGCCTTCTTCAGTCCGACCTTGTTGAATCAGCCATCGGGGCGTTTCTGGGAGGCCCACCACCAATAGAGCAACACTGGCAGCCATAGGGATCTGAAGAGCAATTGGCAGTCGCCACGCAATTGGTCCATTGGTGAAACTCATTCCATAGTCGAAGAAATAGGCTATCGACACCCCGACGGCAGTAAAGAGCACTTCCGAAGTGACGAGCCGGCCTCGATGTTCTCTTTTGCACAGCTCTGACTGATACATCGGGACTGTTGATGTGTCGATGCCAACCCCAAACCCGGTGATGATCCGCCCAACCATCAGTTGAGGTACCGAATAGGCGGAATCCTGAATGACTGCTCCAAGAGCTATGAAAAACATTGCTGCCCAGATCGCATGCCGGCGACCGAATCGAGCGCCGATGAAGAAGTTGATGGCACACCCGAGAAAGCAACCTACATTGTAAATGGAAACGATAATGCCGAGGAATCCGGGACCAGGATGATGGAAAATGTCAAGGAAATCCGGGTTCGTGATCAAGCCGCCAAAGACACCCTGATCCCAACCAAACCTGCACGCACCGGTCAGCTGGTTGCTTGATGACAATGAGGATAGGCCTGGCCTTGGACTCAGACGTACAGTACAAATGCCGACAGACATGTATAGGTAATGGCCAGCTGGGTAGGCCGACCTGCTTTGAACCAGTCTCTCGTCATGGTGAGTTTTGAAGAAAAGTCCGCCCGAAATTGCACCTGGCCGTAGTCTCAGAACACGAATTCTACCGCTGGAATCGTAAACCTGGAGTATACCGACCGAAACGCGGGGTTCAACCCAGAGTATTTGTACCTGCTTCATTGCTCGTGCTGATGGTGATTTTGCGGGTGGATCACTGATCAGGTGTGGAGTTGCACGTTGATCATCTCTGAGTCTAGTAAGGCTCTGCGACGTTGCTGAACCAATTCGGCTTTCAGGGAGGAAGAAGGCTATAAGGCTTCGGCACATCAGGATTCATGTCTCAATTAGCCGGGCATAAGTAGCTACGAGCAGACGCCGGTAGACTAAAAGACAACCCACTCTACTAGGTACCGAGTTCTATGAGCAGTGGCAGAACGCGGACAGCTGGAAACTGCTCAAGGTTGGCACCGGCGCCGCAAACCTCCTCCAAATACACACGAGACTTTAGGCGCTCGATATAGATTAGATAAGATCACACGGGATGATCACCTACGTTGAGTGGCTCGATGATTCAGGTGGTTGGGTGAATAGAGTCGTTCTGATTGTTTCTCACATCGAGGTCCGTTTGGGCTTCTGTTTCTTGGTGCAGTTGGTCCCATGTGCCCATCTTCTGGCTCTAGCACTCACGTATCGATGTCATGCTCGGCCAGGCTAAGTGGCCGACATGGAGACCGAGCTAGGAAGCGCTCAAGGAGACAAACGCTCCAGAAAAGACATCTCGTGCCGTCGGTCTGGGGAGGGCATTGTCGATGCGGGCCGAAATAGACACATCCCTGCAGGGCTAAGACGACCAGCCGTCTGTCTGATACCAGTGGTTGACCTCGCCTTGAGGCTGTATAGACCCAGCACAGTGAGGCTTTGAATCATCTGCAGCATTAGTAGTTGCCGTGTCTGCTGATGTAGGAAACTCACAGATTGAAGAGTAGCAGAAAGAAACTGCTCGATGCGTGTCTTCTGCCCCCTTCGTCAACTATCTGCATGAAGGTGCCACCAATAGCATAAATCACGTTGAGCTTGAAAATTTCAAAGCTCTGAGTGGCTGTCAGTGTTTCTGATGATATTGTTGTCGTCTCATATTGCTGTGTGTGCAACTGCTATAGTTTGGCCCAGCTAAAGAATGGATGTCGTGGACGTATCCACCGGAAACAATAATTCAGCATCTGCCGTTCAACTCTATCTTCTGGAGGCGTGGACAGGGTAGCTTCGGTAGAGCCGACTACTACATTGTTTCCTGCGGCTGCTGGCGGCAATGTTCAAGACGATGTTGATGCGTGGACCAGAGGATCAACGATATTGAGATCCGGCTGTGTGGTCGTCAGTGGTCAGAGTGATCCCTGAGGGTCACGCTACGAGGAACACATCTGAAAATGTCGGAGTCAGCGGATGTCCGCTTTCAAGGGTATCTGGTACGACTACTAGAATGAAGTGGCCACAAATACTGTAGGACAGCAGTTTAGCGGCAGAAGCATCAGCCGAACTTTATGAGAAAGGCGGTGCCGCTTTTAAGGCTAGAATTGTAGACCACCAGCTTGCGACTCCTCCTCGTCTCTTCTCGCCCTCCTACTGTGAAGTCTGCTAAAGTGTTCCTCGCTGCGTCTATGATATGATATTTAGTACGGAGTAAATAGTATGCTATTATTGTCACGTACTGTCACGTGGTGCCAAGCGCTTCATATGATCCACTCCTGAACCCTCCAAAAGTACGCCGTGACCAAAGTCTATCCAAGAATTGGGCGCTGGTACGCCAAAAGAATCTATTGGGAGTATTGTACATCCGAGATTCCCATACAAACAAAAATTATGAACAATGTCTTCGAGCTTCAATCCTCAGTTGATGGCTGCGTTCTTGTTCTGTGGAGATCCACACCGGCCAAGGAGTTTGATGTATAGACACGATCGATATCGTAGGGGTTGGTGTCATAATTGGCTGCTTCGGCAACAGATTCTGCTCTCGATCGGATGCGGGTAAAGCTTTCTCTTGTCGCAGTGTCTGTTTGTCTCGATCTGGTGATCTTCAACGGTTCGAAAGCTCGACCATCATGACCTGCAGTCTCTGAACTACTTGTCACTGAATTAGCGGCCGATACCCTGAGTTCTTTCTCTTCCTGCTCGGCTCGTTGAGCTTCAGAGGCTTGTTTGGCTTTGGCACGCAGTTCGTTCATCACAGCTTCTGCTTGTGCCGCATAGGTACATCTTGCTCGGATTCGATGCCCGTATTTGTAGAAAATGAATGGAAAAGGCACGCATGCGAGGGCGAGAAAGCCCGGGATCGACGAACCCCAATGCGTACCCAGATTGTGCATCATATAACTGGTGAAAAGAGGAAAAGCAGCACCGAATAGTGATCTCAAGACGGTATTGGCTGCAAGTGCCGAAGCAGCAAAGATGGTGTAAGCATCGACAAGGTAGTTCATGATGCCCAAAAAGCAAAGCATCATACCAAACCCAAACGGTGCTCCGGCAAGGACTGGCGAGATCCAATGGATGGAAGGGTAATTTGTCCAGGCAAACCAAAACATTCCTAGGGGGACTGCAAAAGAGCCATACAAGGTAGGCTGCAGGCGAGCTTCGGGAGGTGCGACTCCACCGTTTCTTTCGGCCGCTGCAGTATACCACCTGTTTGAGTAAGCCCCGAAAGATATCCCAAGAATCATGCCACCTGCGACACCCAGGAAAGGGAGGCCGCCGATGCCTTCCGACCAGCCGCGAACCTCTTGAAAAACAATGGGGTAAGCACCGAAAAGGAGATAAAGGGTCCCTGTAAGGAGTGAGTACGGGAGTATACAAAGTCGACGAAGTCGACGAAGTGAAGCTCACCATAGATAATGGCCATATATATTGACAACAACAGAACAATGGGTTCCAGGAAAAGAAGGATCCAAGGTCTCACCAGGGCAGTGGTTAGGGCCGTTTTCAGAGAAGGGGGTCCTTTTTCCTTGTCGGCTTGCAGGATGTACTCCTTTCCGGTCTTCTCTCTCAATACCGCAACTCGTCTTCGCAATATAACCGGTGCATATGTTTCTGGTACGAGCAACGATGCAACGATCCATACGACGCCACTGAATATGGCAAGGAGACCCATCACCCATCGCCAACCTTCTGTTTCCCCGAGAAACCCGGCAATCCATGGAGACGCACAAGGTCCAAAGGACGGCGCGAGAGCAAACAGATTCATAGCCAGACCTCTTTGGGATGCAGGGAAGATGTCGGCGAGAACTCCTCCACCATTTGTTAACGGGGAGGAGCCAAAAGTACCGGCAAAGAACCGTAGAACAAGCAGTGTTGCAGTATCATTCGCACCGGCACAGCCCGCATTGAAGGCTGTGAAGGCGCCAAAGCTTAGGATAAAGATGATCTGCCGCCCATAGATCTCACTCAGAGGCGCCCAAATGAGAGGACCGGTCGCGAAACCCAAGACAAACAGTGAGATACCAGCGGTTAAAAGCTCGGGGCTTGAATGTAGATCAGCCTCAAGCTCTCGCATGGCACCTATCAACCGTCAGACACGTGTATTTAGTAGCGTGAGGGCTCGCGGCTTACCACTATAAGCACTCGACGCAAAAGCAGTAACTAAGCACTCAATGGCCACAACTACAGTAATAAACCATCTGAAAGATATGTCCCAGGTAAAGGGATTACCCGCATCTTGCGGGATGTAGCTCACAATATAAGGGTCGTCTGTCGTCCCTGACCCTTCATATTGATGTTGAAGAACGTCGTCAGTGACACGCGCTTGGTCGAGGAGTAATCTGCGGAGCGAGAGCGGCCGAGGAGCCTGATGCTGGTTTTCGTCCTGCTTTTCGGCCATTTATAGCACTGTACGAGAGTTCTGTGGCCGGGTTCACGCAGGGCTGGGAATGTGCTGTCTCGGTGCGGGTGTTCACAGGGGAGGGAGAGGGAGGAAAGGTGGGAATTGTCAAACTCACCTTTTGTATCAGTGACAATTCGGATATGCGTCTCGTAGATTCCGAGTGGATGTTTCTCTAAATGGACTACCTCAAAAGGTAAACTCGGCGCCAGCACGATGGAGCCACGATGTAGCTGAATTGTGACATGTCAACGCACGTGTAGCCGACAAAGACCAGTGTACAAGTACGGTGCCCACTGATATTGCCACTTATTATGATTCACAAACCTCTGTGCAATAATCCAAGACCTTCAACACTGCAGGAGTTTAAGGCACAGCTAGGTAGGGAGTAGTGTAGTGCAATAGTTATGCGCCCGCCGATCACCTCACCACCGCTAGATTTCAATAAGACAAGCGCCAGTGTCACTGGGCGCATTATTATTGTTGTGCGTAGCATATTTATTGTGCATGAAGACCCCTACAACTAGCTGGGTCCGGTGGATTCTCTCACGTGGCTGTCACGTGTCTCTAGCTCCAATGACCGGAGATAGTTTTATCCGGTTGCCAACTGGCTTACATATAGCGGCGAGCCGCTCCTTTACTTGTGAGAGAGTCAATTCATTCTCTTCGCGCCACAATTCTTGAATCTGGCCCAGACCATGCTGCAGAGGTGCTGTATGGTAGGATCGTGATGGGGAAGGCTCCATCATTCGATTCCCTGATCAGGGGTAGGTAATTCAAAACGGCAACTGGAAACAGTTTCACTGTTCCGCGCTGCTTTCAAGCTCAGATACAAATGGGACGAGTATCCCTTACTCCGCAACAGTCTGTGAACTCATTTGAAAAGGGATAGTGACGCCTCGAATCTGAACCGCCAATCCATACCCACGACTTCTTGTCAGCCCATGGAGATATCCATGGTACCTATCTAGCTGTGCCGGTCACGTCCGCTCCCATATCAGCCAAGGGAGGTACTTGAAGCCCGTTGTGGCGTGCAGGTTTCTTCTCTTCCCATATGTAATCTAGAGTCTCTTGAGCCTGGAATTGGTTCGAGGTCGCGAGTACTCCCATTATTGTTTACCTGATTACGGCTATTTCGCGCACGCTACAAAGTTGGCTAGCACTGGAGAGCGCTGACAAACTCTCGAACATTTCCTATCATACTACGTGCCTGGTCGGTGTCTGCTCTGGAGGACTTAAGCAATACTCATCAGTTGTCGACATGGGAACACTACCAACACCGCGAAATGCCATCGTACAATCGGCGACTGGGGGAATCGCTGGTGTTTACTTTACAGTTGGCTTTCATAGGGCCAATGACATCCATGTACGGATGACACTAAGTTCGTACAGTAGGTGATTACTCACCACCGCTAACACCACCACCCTCGTCTACAGCTTGCGTGCGTATGATGTACATGGTGATAGAAGACTACTGTTACGCCCGGAATGTAAATCATGGGTGACGAAATGTGTTGGCTTCTTCTGGCACGTTGTCGATACGGGAATATCGTTGCCTCGAAGATGTCTACAAAAAGGTGACACCGCCAGCTCCACACCGAGTGCATACAATGCAATTATCTCAGGCCGAACATTCCAATTCTCACCACAAAGAATAAAAAGAAGGGGCCCTCCGACATAATACAGCGACCAAACAAAGATGGTTTCTAAACCTTTAGCGGAAATGCTTGCTCGGAACCTCAGGTAACATGGACAACGCCTCCCAAGCAACCCCTTGAGCCCAACAGACGGACTGACCCAACATCTCCCACAGCAAGTTCGCACCGACTTATCAAGCACCTCCCGGGTTGATGCAGCTGGCGACGAAAATAAGGGCTTCAGGCGAAGGCGTGGTAGTCCTTTCGTGCTCCGACCCACGCTTGAATCCCTACCAGATTCTCGGCCTCGACAGTAGCCTGCGTGAGTTTCAACTACAACAACACCGACACCTTTTTGGAGCCTGACTGACTTGTTTTTTTCTTTCGTCCAGCGGCCACCATGGTTCGCAACGCGGGTGGTAGGGCCTTTGACGCCATCCGCACACTCTCGGTCCTCCAGACAATCGGACGCCCGGGCACCATCGTCGTCATGCACCATACGGGTGAGTTGCGTTCATTTTCAGTTGGCCGGTCATTGCGAGAAAGGAGGGAAAGTGCTGACTGTATTTTCTTGTGAATATCAATCAGACTGTGGAATGAGTCATTTTCACGACGCCGATGTCAAACGAGCACTTCTGGAAATCAACCCCGACGCAGGTGAATTGATACAGTCTATGGAGTTTGGCGAGATCAAAAACGGGTAAGAACCCTTTGTCTCTTTTCTTCGCCGCGTCTTTTCTCTGTCACATCCTTTTGTGTGTGTGTGTGTGTGTGTGTGTGTGTGTGTGCGAATATTGGAAAACGTCAAGGAATAGAAAACAATGCATGCAAAAGAGACTAATGCTAATTGGAATATCTCTCGGGGGACAGAATCGAAGATAGCCTCAGGCACGACATTGCTCTTCTCAAAGCGTCGCCATTGATCAATAAGAATACTCAGATTGTCGGGCTCAAGTATGATATTCAAACTGGCATTCTCACCCTGTTGGACGAATGAGAACAACGTAGAAATGGTTGATGGAAAGGGGTGCCCTAGAAGAAGAGGAAGGAGGAGAGGTGGAGGAGGAGGAGGAGGAGGAGGTGGCGGTGGTGATGATAGTGGTAGCCATGGCAGGAGCTGACTTGATAGGATTTATCAGCACCCGGATATCGTACTCGTTCTTTGTGCGTAGCAAACCATTATATGTACGGAGTATGCTCTATGAAGGAAGATTTGTCTCTTTGCGACACGTAAATAATGTCACGTATGCAGGATATCTCGATATTGGTCTGGATGAGACGATACTACACGCGGTCGGTAAACAGAACAAAAATATGTTGCATACTAGTACTACTGTTCTGTAGAACTATGCTTTCCAGTCCCAGCCTTCTCCACTCCCCATAGGAAGTAAGGCGAGAGTTCCATCCTAATAAGTGAAGTCAGGAGAATACAACGACACAACATAAGAAGAGAATATTCGGTCCGTCGGTCAGCCGGTTGATAACCAGAATCTCTCTATAGAACAGCAGCAACACCAGCGGCAACGGCACCGGCAAACAAGAGTCCATTCTTAACAGACACGGGCTCGGCTCCGTTGCTGGGAGAGGCAGCAGCGCTTGCACTCGCGCTAGTGGCAGATGCAGAGGTAGAACCAGAGGATGAGGCCGAGGACGACGATCCACTGGCGGATGCAGAGGATGAGGCCGAGGACGACGATCCACTGGCAGATGCAGATGCAGAAGGCGACGACGAGCCGCTAGCAGAGGCAGAAGCAGCACCAAAGACACCGCCCTGGACATTCGCGGGGGACGAGCCCTGTGCGTTTTGAGCTGCGGACTTGTACGCGTCGAGAGTGTTACCGCTGCTTCTACATTGCAAGAATCGGTCAGCATGAGTAAGACGAGCACACGAGTTGGTTGAGGGTTTCGATTCTAGTTCGGATTGAATTGGTGGGCGAGGGGGTGAAAAATGAAGTAAGGAGTGAAAAAAAGTAGGGAAAAGCGGGAAAAAAGGCGAAAGGGAAAACGTACGGTGGGTTCACGACCATAGCCATGCCACTCTCACAGTGACCACTCGCGGAACAGTACAGCCACAGAGGATCGGTGCTGTTGATCTGGATGCGCCAAACATCTCCGTCGCTAGGGAAGCCAGAGTAGACGCTCGTGCCGTCGGACAAGGGCACGCAGGGGGCGGCGAAGGTGCTCTGCGCAACCGAGTGGCCTTCTCCAAAGGTGAACTCGACCCAGTCGCCCTCGGCGGCCTGGACGGTGTCGGGGGTGAAGGTCAAGCTGGGACCGACTTGGACGTTGTGCACGGTCTCAGCCGCGAGCACCGACGAGGCAAGCGCTGAGAGGACAAAGGCGGTCGTCGAATGCATTTTACTTTGGACGTTTGGATTTGCTTGTTTGGTTGATGAGTCGAATGAGTATTTTTGGTCAAGAGAAGAGTGAGACTGGAGGTCTTTCTTTTGATTTTCGTGTAATGGAGCTTTGGAACGTAACTCTATGTGTTGACCACCAGGGTTCAAAGGCGAAAAGAAAAGGGTGATTGTGATGCTGCGTGCTTGTTCTTTTGCTGTGTTTTGTCGTGTAAGAGAAGTCTCTTCTGAGTTTTTTGAAACAAGGCGATCGGTCAATACTTATATAGACTCTACAAGGTCCACAAGCTTTTTTTTCCTTTCCGCTCCGTTCAGCAGCTACCATGGCGCGTGCAATCTTTCAAGGGGTGGCGTGCAGCGGTTAAAGCCAGTCCAACTCTAGTGCAGATGAGGCCGGAGAGGCTCCTCGGTCCTCAGCCCTACATTGAAAAGCCTCACTAGCCAGGGACGCTCTGGTCTGCCAAATTTAGGCCCAAACGCCAACTGTCGGAGTTGGTCCAGAAGAGAGACGTGAGCCTGGTCCCCCATGGAATCGTCGAATCAGACTTCAACAGGTGCGTCGGATGGAGGGAGGGGGGGCCTGTGCTCGCAAACACACGTCGATAGGGAGTCGGACCCCAGGGCCAGGGGGTGGTACAGTACAGTTCTCCCTCGCCCGCACCCGGAGGACGCGTCACTCTGTGCGCTTGTTGGGACAGATGGGATGGTTTATCTCACCACTCATCAGCCGTCTCTGATCACAGGTCGGGAATCAGCAATGTTCTGACGTTGTCCAAAGCCCATTATGGCGCCAACTGGTGCCGGTTCGTGTCGACAGCATCCGACACTCGGGGGGAGTGTTTTGGAAGACTCGCTTGGGTCCGGTGGACCAGTAAGAAGCGAGCCACAGCAGCCCACGGTTCCTGAAAGGGGGAATTGAAAGGGTCGTGGACTGCTGACTACGAACTAGCACTACGGAGCTCTGGTCTGGATTGTCGATAGTGGCAGCCTTCCAAGACTTTTCGGGGGAGGCTAATGAGGCTGTGCCGCACGTTTCCCGGGGGTGGCTTGCGAGCTGTGTTTTGTGAGAGAGGGCGACATGGCTTGTGTTGGCTCGTTTGCACAGTACAGAGCATTATGAAACCAGCTCGAAACATCTGCCCCTTGACACGGAGAGAATAATGAAAGCAGTACTCTTCGTTGGCTGGCCTCCCTTTGACTAAAATGCCTACCTGTGAACAGTCCATTCGTCTCCTGAAAACGGCATCACAACCTCGTCGTCGACACCTGCACCTACAGCCACATACATCGACACCTATTATCTATCTATATATATCTCTATCTACACCTACAGAGTGAATATGCATACGAGCTGACGATACGAGCACAAGTGTCAAGGCCGCGTGGCCGTTCAATCTTTGTGGAAATTGACCGGTCCCAAATGAAAATAAGATGTCGTCCCGTCAAGGTAGACTGTATAGGGAGTAGTTTCCTCGCACTATGGGACTTTGACAGTCTAATAAAGCGGCTTGTTCCACACCACGACAATTTGAAAACCGCGGAGGAGAGCGCGGCGAGTTTCCTCGATGTTTCTAAAGAAAGCCCCAAAGCTTGGTAAGCACCGCTGCACATGGACTCGGGAATCTCGCGTTGGTGATAACAAGATGGCGTCGATGCAGTTCGGTACTGTCGTGCGGCATGCGATCGAAAGTTTTGAGAAAACACAAGCCACATAAAGTCTCATCTCCCGGCTTCCTACTAGAGGATATTGGGAAATGCTCCGTCCCGTACGGAAGTGCAACCCCTAACCTACACGCAGTACGTACACAGGCGTGCTCCGTACTCTGCTTAAAAAAGGCTGGCTGACGGCGGAAGTATGCAAGGTACCATCGTTTCCATCCCCGGCTGTCTTCATCAGACGAGTCAGATCGCCGTGCATGATTTTCCATAGAACCGCGCCCGCAAAATCCTAACTAGGTCCATTTGTACGCAGCAGTAACGGCGTTTTCGCAGCCAGCCGTGGAAGAATATTATTCGAGAGACGAGGGCATCGTTTTGATCATTTTTTTAAACGACGTGTCGGGGATACAGGCAGGGTAGCAGTACTGTCTGTGACGCCAACAATCTCCTTGTGGATGGATATCTTGCTCCACACAGCATGATCATGGACCACCCGGTCATCAAAAGAAGTAATTAAGAAAACATGAAGAGAAGTGTAACTAACAAATTAGCATCTCAAACAAGTTGAATTCAAGGGCCCACGCTGCACACGCAACACAACCCAACACACACAGGGAGACATTCGAGAACGTCCTGGTATGCAGCATGGCCGCCACAGTCTTCAGAGATTATGCAAAGTTATCTGCGCCTCCCAGCCCACCGGCGAGAAAGCGAACATGTATTATGTGTCAAAGGCAGCCACCAACTGCTACGCCGGAGACTCAAGACAGTTAGTTAATCCGAGGAGCTGAACGCCATATTCGATACCGGAAAAGGGCGTGGACGGGTAGAGGAGAGTGGACGTACCGAACGACCTAGGGCAGACTTAGTTAGTAACGTGGTGTAACTGATGCTTAAGTAGATATGATGTACGGTATTTCTGTCCTAGCCACTACGGTTACAAAGTCCTCCTGGCAAACAGGGACGTCGAGCGAAAAAAGAAACAAACATGTCAAGGCCGCCGAGGACGCCCCGAGGATCGTGCTGAACAGCAAGAGTGCAGAAATGACTTGTGTCCATGAACCGGACAACGTATAAGTTTGACTGATACTACACACAAGGTAGCTGTATCCGTATCTTTGTTATACATTCCAGTGGTAGGACCGTCGATGGCTGGCTGAAAGATCAACCCAACGGTCTAGATACCTAGCATCGCTGTCATTGCCACACACGCACTGTAGTATACCACCATACCGTCCCGCCCGGGCACAGCTCTATAGCTTGGATTGCGACTTGGCCTTCCCAAGAATGGGTTCTAGTTTCGTTGCTGCAAGACGTTGTTGTGTCAGTGGCTGCGTTCCAGTCTGCAGGTCTGGAGATATTGGCGTGGCCTCGAATCCAATTCAACTCACCCTTCATTACGTTGCCCTTGATCTTCAGCTTCCCGCCCATGAACAGCGTCTGGGCCTTGGACTTGCCAGCGACCAGCTTTCCAAAGTTCTCCTCGCTCAGAATCAACGTGACTGGTGGCACCATCAGTCAAAAGAAAGGCCCCGGCTGCAGGTAAGGTACTCGAGCGGCAAGCACAGGAATCGCGCAAGGGGGTGTCGTAGTGTGTGACAAGGGAAGGGATCTCAAAACACACCGTCTGCCTTCTTGGGCGGTTGTCCTTTCCCGACCGTTCCGCTCTCTTTCAGGTCCAAGTACCACGACTCCTTCTCATTCTTGTCGTTCGTCAACTCGAATGCGAAGATGGCGCCGCCGTTCTTGATCGCGGCTTTTCGCTCGGCATCGTTGGAGAGAGCGTCGCTGATGGCGTCAAACGCCGCAGAGGAAGGAAATGCATCTGCGATCAACGGCGATTAGGACTGCTCGCGAAAGGGACGGAGAGATGGAATTAAAATAGACGCTTACCGTTTTTGAGAGACATCGTGTGTGCGGTGGTGGTAAATATCTCGGATGACTCGGGAGAGAGCGAACTTCAGGCACGGAGAACAGTTGGCAGGATGTCGGTGTCAAGGTGTTTAGAAGGTATTCAGGGCGCTGAAATACTCGAGGAGCATGAGGGAGAGATTTGATCACGAGGGCCTTCAAAAAGATGACAGTCAATTGACCTGCCTTTGCCTAGGCACAAATGGTCAACACCGAGTACGTCACTGTGTATTCAGAGACGGGGAGAGATAACGCAGGAGTTGCGCATGTGAAAGTCGAACAGTAATGTATTATTAGGGTGCCTTATGCAGGGTTTCGCGAAGGTGCCGAGGTACACACAATACAACAACGACAAACATATGGGGCTCCGCATCTCAGGGTCTTTGCTTCTGCCTCCCCAGCCAACAACAGGCTATAGACTGACGGCACCTCCTGCTCACATTCTTTTCATATGCGTCTATGGAATGGTACCGAAACGACCATTTGGATCCGCTACTCTTCCGGCTTGTACACCGCGTCTTGACTAAGCACAGCCATCCGCTTAAAGAATCTTCGCCATTCCAGGGGATCTCCCGATGCCTTGACAAAATTGACCTCTACGAGTCCGGTATCGACGAGCTCAAGCGCAATCTCACCACGTAAAGGACATCCTCTACTGTCTTGTGCCTTGACCTTAATTCGGCATTCCACGTCCCGAGATGTAGGTCGAGGCGTGTTCGCCGTCGGCACTCCAAGCCGGCTCAAAGCCTCCAAGATGTAGGGAAATAGCAAATGCAGTGCCCAGACAGAATAGAACTTCGTCATTCCATGCGAAGGTAGAATGTCGCCAAATTTACGAGCCATTTGAGTTCTGGTCAACGGTACCGTGGGGCGCTGTGAGAATTGCTGGGTTGCCGGTTCGTCAAGCAGGAAGTTGGTGGTCGACATCGACTGTGTTGCGAACCCGCCCATCCCGGGTGCGGCTTGTGTATTGAACGAGGTCGTATCAGTCGGTCGTCTCCAATCGAACAGCATGTCCTCGGACGGAGCCTCAGGTTGTGTTGACGACATCTTGGCCGCAGGTCCATCAATGTCCATGTCATCGGCCGACTTGCGCCGCTGTGTTCCAGCTAGAGGATCTGCATCGAAGCTGACATGTAGTGCTTCAAACATGTTTGTAGCTAGGGTGATAGGATCATTGAGTCTGCCTTTTTGATCCAGGAATCTATTCGGTCTGGTGAACCACGGGTGCCGCCGCACATCTTCGAGCGAAAATCTCGACTTGACGTCGACCCGCATCATTCCTCGAAGAAGCGACAATACCTCGGAAGGAAGCGCATCCCAGAGCTCGTCATTTGGTCGTCCGTTGCTGGAAACGTACTCGCTGTACTCGTTCGGTCGGCCATATTCGTCTCGTCCTTCTACCGGACGACTCCACGGCGTGTTTCCCGCCAGCAACACAAACAGGACGACACCACACGACCACACATCTGCCATATCTGGTGCATAGCCGACCCCTTTCGTGCCTGATTGCGTGCTACACGACAAGACCTCGGGAGCAACATATGGCGGACTTCCGCAGAGAGTCGTGGCAAGCTTTCTCCTGCCTCCATATTCGAACAGCGTGGCCATGCCGAAATCAGCTATTTTGAGGTCTCCCTCCGCAGACAGCAGCACGTTCTCAGGCTTGATGTCCCGATGAGCCACCCCTTTCGCATGCATGTATCCGATGGCACTGATCATCTGCGTAAAGTAGACGTGGGCAATATCCTCGGAAACCCCAGCATCTGCCTCGATCTTGTCGAAGAGATCTCCTCCTTCTGCCAGTTCCATGGCTATCCACACCCAATCAGCATCAGCGCCATGGTCGAAGAACTCGACAATGTTCTTGTGGAGGCCGAGGTGTTTGTGCAGCGAGATTTCCATCTCGAGCTGTTTCTGCTTGATGCGGCCATATTTCTGGGCGAAGAGTTTGTTGATGAACTTGATGGCAAAGACGGGCGTTTCCTTCTGGAGGGGAGCGGCTTTCTTTATACTAGGCGTGTGAGTTGAGAGTCAATCTACTGGAACACGCATCTGCATAGAAAGAAGTCATTACCATGCATATGCTCCAGACCCTATCGTTGGCGAGACGATTCGAAACGGCAGTTGAGATGGCAAAGGTGCCAGCTGAGAGTGCGGTATGCCGTTCATGACGACGGACGAGGGGGTGCTCGTGCTGAATGTCAACTCAACGCCGTCGAGCCATTCATCTTTGAGGCGGTCGGTGGCCGAGAATATTGTCTCGCATCTGCGGTGAGGCTCCCAATTGTATGGGCAACGCGGGCGTGTTGCAGGTGGAGCAGACGGAGCGCAGGGAAAACATTCTGGGCGCGCCTAAACATGCCATCCAGGAGCCTGGAGAGGCCCTCGCTAGCCTAGAGAGGCTTGGTCTAGTGGCCTAATTAGCCTAGTGAGCCCTGTCGTGGTGCCTGCGCCCGACGTCACTTGTTACCACCGCAGGCGTGTCTTTGCGCGACCTGTTACTGCAGTGACACTGACAAGTCAACAAGCGCCGAAACCTCGAGCAATCCTCCCACAATTCTAACTAAACCCATCGTCGTTCCTGCTTCATACATATCCCTAATCCGACCTCGATAACTCCTACGTTGCGACTATTCCTCAATCTCTTCTGCATCTTTTCTTGTTTCCTGCGTTGTACAGTCGAGTCTTTTCGGGCCCGGCACAGCGAGCGGACCTGCTTTTTGTTGGCTAGAACATCGTTCCGTTTGCAGCATTCCAAGCTCATACATTCTCGAGCCTTTAGTGACAAGGCAAGAGCCGACTTTGTCTCCACCACCGTCGATCTCATATAAGCCGTCGCCATTGAGATGGATTTTGCTCTCGAAGATACCCAGAACGCGGCTCCTGGCTTGTCCACGATGGCTGAACAACAGAAACTCTCGGCCGCTCCGAGAAAGGCTGACATTCAGAGCGTCACGAAGAGGTACAGTGATTTAGTGAATCTCTACCTGTTCTCTCCATCACTGACAATGCTATAGGCTCCAGTCTGAGTTGATGACTTTGATGATGTCTCCTACGCCGGGAATCTCAGCCTTTCCTGATGCAGATGGCAACTTACTACACTGGACCGCCACCATCATCGGACCCAAAGACACGCCCTACGCAGATTTGAACCTGAAGCTCAGCTTCGAGTTCCCGGGGAACTATCCCTACACTCCTCCTACCGTACTCTTCAAGACGCCCATCTATCACCCAAACATCGATTTCAGCGGAAGGATATGCCTGGACATCCTCAAAGAGAAGTGGAGTGCAGTGTACAATGTGCAGACTGTACTGCTGAGTTTGCAGAGTCTGCTCGGGGAGCCAAACAAGTATGGTCTCTTTTCCCGAGTGCAAAAGAAGAAAGAAAAACTGACTGTGAAATAGTGCGAGCCCTTTGAACAACGAAGCCGCCCAACTACATGAGAAAGACCCTGAGGAATACCAACGAAAGGTCTTGGCCCGTCACCAGGATATTGATGACTGAACAATTCGCCGCTTGCGCAGGAAGAACGATCACGATCCCCATGCTTCCCAAGGTTGAATAAGAGTCCTGGCGTTGGTCGACGAGGTGCATTCGGGAGCTGGCGAAGAAAGTATACATTACCTGGCGTCAAGAACATTGGGAGCAGTGTGCGTATTGAGCGTTGCAGTCATATCATATTAAGCATTGTATCAATCGCGGACAGGGATGCATCCAGTACATCCTATTCTTACCAGGTCCTTTCCTAGGTCTCCATTCACGTCCTGCGTTTCCGTATTGTTGGTGTCGGATAGGTAGGTTCCCTCATCGCAAATCATATTTGGTAGCCAAAAACCTATTGGAGCCATCATCCAGGCCTTCGAATAATTCCACTCCCCAGCCTTTTGAGGGATTGTTGAACCTCGACCTCTTGTCTTGGGTCTGGATTTCCCTCATCTCGTCCTTTGAGAAGGTCACATTTAAACTTCCAAGATTCTCAATGATTCTCTCCTCGTGCACCGACTTTGGAATCACCACGGTGCCTCTCTGGATGCCCCATGCAAGAACGGCCTGTGCCACGGTGCAGTTTTTCTTACTCGCCAGGCCCTTCCAAAAGTCATCTTCCAGCAGGGGGTCCAGCTTGGGGTATTTGTCCTTGTAGGTCGGGTTCATGTTCGCCAGCGGGCTGTAGGCGATGACGGTGATGTTGTTGTCGGCGTGCCAGTCGACAAAGTCCTGCTGCTGGAGGTAAGGGTGGGTCTCGAACTCGTGGGCGTACGGGCAGATGTCGCAGTGCTTCAGGACCTGGTCGAGCTGGCGCGGCGAGAAGTTGCTCACGCCGACGTACCGCGTCTTGTTCGCGCGGACGAGGTCCTCCATGGCGCGCCACGTGTCGAGAATCGTCGTGTCCTGGTCGACGACGGTCCGGCCGGGCGCCTGGTCCGGCAGGAACGCCACGGGCCAGTGCATCAGGTAGAGGTCCAGGTATGCGATGGAGAGGTCGGAGAGCGTCTTGTCGAGGGCCGCCGCGACGAGGCTCGGCCTGTGTGCGTCGTTCCACAGCTTGCTGGTCACCCAGTACTTGTGGCGCGGCGGGGGCGGGGAGTGGGAGTGTTTGGACGAAGGGGACAGAGACCGGCCGACGTACTCTTCGTTGCCGTAGGCTGCGGCAGAGTCCAAGTGCTTGTAGCCGGCGTCAAAGGCGTATGTGACGGCGTGGGCTGCGTCATCGCCCTTGGAGTTCCAGAGGCCCAGCCCGATGGAGGGAATCGACAGGTTGTGGTTGTGACTGTGGTGGTTCGATTGACGAGGGGACGATGGCTGAAAGGGTGTCTGTTGCTCTGCGGATACGACCATGGGTATTCCTAAGAAGAGGCTGGAGAGGAGGACCACCACCCCGGCGACGAGAGGCATGGTTGTGAGCATCTTGTGGCACGAGTACATCATGTTTCGTTGTCTACAACGGCAGCCTGCGATGGAGTGACTTGCGAGGTGGTACAGTCAATCTGAAAGAGAACCAACCTGCTGCTGGACTTGGAGGCGCTGTTTCCCCTCAAGGGTAATCTCAGAAGAAATCGTGGAGGTTCGATACTCCGCGCTAGATGATAGAGGATCATGGAGAGGTGACCTTGGTGTACTGTTACAAGACTTCATTTGTATGCCTGGTGGTTGGCGAGATGGCGTCACCAAACAACGAAGCGACGAGGAGAAGAAGCGGATCATTGAAATTCCGGGTTGAGACTGACGCGGTCTCCAGGATCAAACATCCGCCAATCATGGTCGGCTATTTTCGGCCTGGAAACTGGCTGTCAAAAGCCCGAAACGCGTCATCCTCTCCGTCCTCCCAGGCGACAGCGAAAACGAGGCGGCAACTAATTCATAACTTTGCCAGCGGATGTTCGAGTAATCGACAGCACGGCGTGTTGATAGGCCTTGTGTCGTGAAATGACAGCCAGGTACGGAGTACGGAGGCGTGCTCCAAATGTAGTTACCCTGCGCTAAATTTTAGTTCAGACGCTAAATGCGCCATGGAGGCCATCCAAGGAGGCGGTCAAAGACTTCCCTAGTAAAATATATGAGATTCTTTGGCTTGCCGCAAGGATCCTGCCTTGATTTCATAGTCCTTCTACAAAGTGACTACCTTCTTATCACGCTTATGAAAAGCATCGTTGTTTTATAGTCCAACTAGCCTATAGGGCCGAAAATAAGTGATAAATTGACCGTCTCCCCGGATGACAGACCATCGAAAGGTCAGTCTTCTTAAAAATGCCTGCGCCGCTTTCTAATTCCGCTGCAGAAGCCGCTAAAGGAAGAGAATCTCAGCGGCCGAGACGAAAGAACTCACCTGCAATTCGACCTTTACCTCAGGCCGCCGCATCAAATGATACTGGGACTCGTTATTCTCTCGCGCAACGAGCGCAGGCTCTCACTATATCCTCGCTTGGTTATCAATATGAGTCGATTGTTAAGTCAACAGGAATTCCGCGGAGGAGCGTGATCAATATCATAAAAAAAGCGCGAGAGAGAGGCTTCAATCCGAAGAAAGATTCTCGCATTCTTGATCATTTTATTGTCGATGAATATAAGCCAGGGAGACCAAAGAAAATCAAGGAGACTATTGAGAAGAATATAATTGTTAATGTTCGTCAAGATAGAGCAAGTCGAGAAAAATCAATTAAGGTTCTCGCCTATGAGTATGATGTTAACATTACCTCTATAAATCGCATCCTGCATAAAAATGGACTATCAAATGTGAAACCCATCAAAAAGCCCGGCCTCAATAAGCTTCAATGAAAAGCGCGCCTCGAATTCTGCCTCGCTCATTAACATTGAACGCTTAAGGATTGGAAAAAGGTAATATAGAGCGATGAAACAAGTGTTGTTCTTTGTCGACGAGGATCTCAACGCATTTAGCGGAGCGCGGATAAGGCCTTTAAGAAGTCGTCTGTTCGCAACCGTTGAAAAGGCTTCTCGCAGTTTATGTTTTGGGGTTGCTTTTCATATTATGAGAAAGGACCTTATTACATATGGAAACAAGAGACTACTAAAGAGAAGAAGGCTACGCAGAAGGAGATCGATAAACTCAACACAATAAGAGAACCCGACTTAAGACTTGCTTGGGAGTTAGAGACAGAGATCTCTAGAATAGAGTTGCGCAATCACCCAGGTAAAAAGCCTCAATGGAGATTCACGAAACAGCGAGGTAAATTAGTGAGGGAGGCAGATCAAGGAGATATTGACTGGTATCAATATTATAAGGTTAGTAAGGTTCTCTCTACTATAACACAGTGCTAATATTCATTACAGCATATCATTCAGACTAAAATGATTCCATTTACTCAAAAACTAGGCCCTGAGACTATAGTCCAGGAGGATAATACCACACTATATGCTTAGCACTTCATTAACACTGTCTATTCTATAGCTAATGTGAAATGTCTTCTTTGGCCGGGAAACTCGCCAGACCTTAATGCGATCGAGAAAGTCTGGCCATGAATTAAAAAGCGAACAACCTTTCACGGGCCTGCGAAAAATCAGAAGGAACTTTATTCAAGATGGAGGAATAGATGAAAAGAACTGCCGCAGTCACAGATTCAAAAATGGATTGAAGGAATCATTGAGAATATCAAAAAGGTGATCGAGTTAGAAGGCGACAATGAATATCTAGAGGGCCGCGAGACTAGAAGGTCATATAAAGGGCGGCGCAAGATCGGCGAACTCTATAAACATTGCTGGATTAACGATAGTGAAAGCGCTATCGCTAATGATGAGGACTATAAGGATATAGATATCGATGAGATCGACAATGCAGAGAAGGATACCGCGGAGGGGCGCAGCTAATAAATAACCATGATTACTATGTGAAATACTAGGAAAAGATGGACAGAAGTTAGCAAAAGAGCGTCGATAGACCCGCGGAGTCACATCTCTATCGGCGCGAGCATAGCATAGTCAGCGGCATAGCATAGTCAGAGGACTAGAGGCAGGAATAGAGTCATCAACACCATGATTGTCTATACAAGACTTCAGCCTTGCAAGGCTGCGGATGTCCAATAGATGCCATGTTGAGGACTATTCACTGCGCACTGCAGGCCTTTAAGATCTCCCATATAAATTAGGTGAGGCATCTCAAAACAGCGAAGGTCTCGCGACGCCAAGGCGCTAGTACTAGCGCAGGGTAAATACATTTAGAGCACGCCTCCGTACTTCAACTTCAATTACTCCTCGCCACCCACCACATTAATCGAACACTGAAGAAATACCCTCATACTGTGAAGCCACTGTTCTAACGTATACACCACTGAGCTTCGTCAATAATACCACCATTTGAGTGTTTACAACCCCGATTTCTTCAGCCCTTCAAGAAAGTAGGAAAATCGTTTCATCCACTTAAATACATCAATACTTATGCGCTGACTATTTTAACAAGGTAGATATCGAATAATGACCCGTATATACTCCGTATCTTGAAGTCAATTATCAATCCACTCACTCCCACTCTTCTCAGTCTATGCTGATGTTTGGTACCCTTCCACACCCTAGCCGGATACTGATACACCAATCAAGGAACAGCTGAGGACCGGCCTGAGGGCATTGCCTTGTAATGACCGCGCACCAACAGAGAATCTCAGCCACAGCAACGGGGTTCATTAATCTCGCCGCCTAAGTAGTATTATCACCCCCTGCATTAGATGAAATACTCCTGTTGCCTCGCCTAGTGAGATGGAATAAGCAACCACGTGACTGCCTGCTGCAAACTGCGGAGTCAACTTTGCATCCTTTAACACGATTAACACCACAGTGCTAGAATCGCAATCATCTTCTCTTTAGTCCATAGCATAATCAGCTCACTCAGTAGGGATGGCTTCCAATCCTGTTGGCAGCACAGATACATTTTCAATACTTCATGCTCATCCACACAGCTGCCAAGACTGCCAGGTAATCACGATTCATATGCCGTCTCGATCAGAAATTCAAAGACTTGATGTAGGGGATGCGGTGAACTTCGCAAGGATCTCAGGCTCCTATGTCCGCGTTGCATCAACTCGCTGTTTGTTCTTTGAATGGGCGGTTAGTAAATTCGAGGATGCATCTAAGTCCGACATCATTGATGAATCGTGGACGCTGAATATCGAAATACTGGAAGGGCATTTTAAAGACTATCCCGACATTCCATTCCTCAATATCTACTGGAAACATTGCAGCAGCGACTGGCAGCTTAAAAATGGAATTTCTTGGCTCACCGTCTGTGCTGAACCAGGTTTGACTATTCTTCACCCATCCCTTCCTATCTTCGGCCAAGCTAATTTGTGCTAGACAATCCTGCTGCTAGGATCATCCCGCGGCGGCCCGAACGCTTGATTATCTCTTCGAAATCGACATTCGATCAACTTCGGGAGTGGATATTGGAATGCGATGAGTGCCATCAGACATGCCGAAGAAACTCAGAGCTGTTCATGCCCTCGAATGTAATCGAAATCATCGATGGCATAGCAAGAGGACCAAAACTACGACTGAGAATGGCACCGCCATGTGACAAGTACATTGCGCTTAGTTACTGTTGGGGCGGGGACCAGTCGTTCAAAGCAACGAAATCCACAATAGACGATCTCACTCGGTGCATAAATCATAGTGATTTACCACGAACACTCCAGGACGCAATTGCAGTCACCTTAGAACTTGGATGTCGGTTCCTGTGGGTGGATGTTCTATGCATCATTCAAGATGATAAAGTGCACACTGCAAAGGAGATCGCGATGATGCCTAGGATATATGAAAATGCGTATGCCACTGTTATAGCGGCAAGATCAAGAAGTTGCGACGAAGGCTTTCTACAGGATATCACTACACCCACTCCTTCGTCCCACATTTTTCGGTTTCCGCTCTGTGGTGACAACTTGACTTTGGGCTCGATCTTGTGCTTTGATCAGTACCTCAATATGGATCCCATTGAAAAGCGAGCATGGCCGTTGCAGGAATTTCTTCTATCACGCCGTTTATTACGTTTTGGACACCATCAAGTAACCTGGATTTGTCGACAGTCTTCGAAGACCACACGTGAAGACGAGACTTTAAACTGGTTTCTTCGCCGAGAGCAAGAAAGAGTCGACATGAAAACGGAGTTTTACGAAAGGAGCATGGACTTATTTACACGGGATGAATTGCTTTGGGACTATACTGGTCGAGACCTTTCGGACCATCATGATAGGCTTCTCGCGATTTCTGGAATTGCTTCCAAGCTGGCAGAGAAGAGCCAGGATACCTATATTGCTGGAATGTGGTATTCTCACCTACCTAGAGCATTACTGTGGGAAGTGGGTTCATCCCCCAGTTCAAAACGACCTAGCCCGTACCGTGCACCAACCTGGGCTTGGGCTTCAGTTGATGGGAAAATATCTTTTGGAATGGGTATGAATACAATGGAGGATCCAGATTTTCGGATACTTTCTATTGATTCGGAGCCGGCCCAACATAGCGCTCCATATGGCAATTTAAATCATGCTTCGATTACGGTTCGTGGTTGGATACGGAAGCTATACTGGACTGATTCAAGTTCTACTCTTTTGGAGTTGGACCAGCTTGGATCATTGGAGGATGACAAGAGAGATACACTTGCGTCGACCATACCAGATGCCAGTGACGACGAAAATCATGACATGTTGCCAGTATGGTGTCTTCAAATCTGCCGTCATGGCTTAAATGACGGTCCTTAAAGACTCATACTGACAGAAAAAGAAGAAAAAGTGTTTGAACGACGGGGCGTTTTTCAGTTTTCAAGTCTGACTCACGAAAGGTGGCCTGCTACATTACGACATGCTTGTTTAGAAAAAATGAGGAGCTGGAAAAGCTTTTGTGACCTTCAAACCGTTGTAATAATTTGATAGCAAGGGAAATAAATCATTCAACAGCCCGGCCGCCTCCATTTCCACACAGAGTGCGCCAAACTCTTCACCGATCCTGTCTCTTTCCGCCGCATTCTTCATTAAACCATTGCCCGACGCAATAACCCCGTACCAGAATGACGGATGGTCGTCATGGCGAGCTGACCTTGCGATCTTACCGTCCGTGCACGAATTGCACGAGCCAGAGGAGCTAGAGCCACCATACCAAGGGCAGTACAGAGTGTCAGTCTCCCACCCAGGATACCCGTACGCGTTCTTCACCAATCTTGGATGTCGCATCATTATATCTGCTATTATTGTTGGAATCCGGCTGTCATTTAGGTTATGATCTGCCCGCAGAGTAGCAAGGGCGGATAAGAAGGTGGTTTCAAAAATTCTTTGCGTTCAAATTCCTTGTCTCCAAGGTTCTTTCCGAAGTCATACTGAACCACTCCGCCGTATGTCTTGCCAGGCTGACTGATCACCACGTCCCCGATGTCCACGCTCTCTGGCAGGTTAGGGATCCCTCCTCCAACCCCCACCATCAGACCAAACCGCAGTCCCGTGAATGTCTCTCGCCACTCTTGCTGCAGCATTTGTGCCATATATCCCTGAGGGGAGGCAGGCAATGACCACATTGTGTTCATGGATTCGGCCCAGCACATAGCTGTTTGAATCGAGCTTGTCTTGACCCACGATCGGCTGATGCCGCTCATCCAGTATGGCGATTGCAGCACTTATCTCATCTGGGAGCGCGCATACCACGCCCACCTGGTATTGCTCGATCGATAAAGAGCGTCTCGCTGCCATTACTGGTGAAACTTGAACGAGAGCTAGAGAGGGAGAGGGAGAAAGGGAGACCTGCGCGGAGAGGAAGAGAGACGATGCGGCTGAAGAGAGGTTTCAGATGTGACCACGAAGGTTCACGAAATCAGGGTATGGAAATGTCAAATCTTGGTATTTATAACAAGAGTGACAAAGACAATAGATTTCGAATATAGGAAGACCCTTAGACGGCTGATCGCAGCAAAGGGTGGTGTGCCAGTGGTAGTAGCACTCGAAGTACCATGGGCATATTTCCCTGGGACAGGGTATTTCACCACGCCAAGATGTCGATTACTTTTACAATACGGAGTATACATATCGAGGATAATCAGCTTTGTCATCAGGGACGACCCAAGTCCTGACACATCACATGCATCACGCTCCCACCTGATTTGGCGGCGAACAACGCACATGGCGTTGCACACGCCCAAAGAAATTCTGGTCACCATGAAACCCAACATTCAGAAAATCCTCCCTTACCACGAGGGCCTCGACGGAATTTCACCCGCTGCCCTGGATCAATATTTCACCCGATTCGCGTGACACTGAGCCAGGGTACAATATACCGAAAAAGTACTTGGTTTCCTAGACGAGGCTAGATGCAAAGAGCCAACTCGGAGTGAGACTGTCCGACTTTGGCGCTCACCAATCATGTTCCACGTTGGCCGGTCTCCCGCTGCAAGGCTGCCAAAAGCGTACCTTATAAAGCCGTCGGATGACTGGCCCAGATACAAAACACTGTACAAAACATGTCTTTACAATTCCTGCCAAAAGGCCCCCAATAGACGGTACTGGCGCAGGGACCAAGGGAAGACGCATTACCACGTAACTCCTCCATACAGTATCACGGTCTATGGAACAAGTCTCAAGAAGCCATGTCAAAGGTGTTCTCTCTTGGCTGATCTTGCTTTCTTCGCTCTTTGCTCTTTGGCGAACTTCTTTACAGCCTCCTTGGTTTCACTCCCGGCTGCCAGCTTGGCAAACAGTTCTCTCTCCAAGTCGTTTGCCCGGTGCAGTTGATCCTTGAAATAGCTCGTCATCAAGCTCTTGTTCGCCTTGGAGGAAATTGGCGGAAGCTTAGCCACCCTTTGGGCGATGGCGAGTACGGTTTCGAGGAAATTTTCCGCTGGAAAAATCTTGCTGATCAAGCCTGCCGACTCAAGCTCTTGAGCGGTCATTCTCTCTCCTGTGAGAATAAGGTGTGCTGCCTTTTGTCGCCCAAGGGCGTGGGTGAAGGTGAAGCTGGAGCAGGCCTCAGCAGCAAGGCCCCATTTGACGAAAGGCGTGAAGAAGTATGCATCGGGAACTGCGTAAACCAGGTCAAATAATCCGAGACTGCTGGTACCGTAACCGACGCCGGGACCATTGACGGCGGCGATGGTAACTTTGTCGCAGTCGATGAGCATCTTGTTCACAGCACTGGAAGCAGATATCAGCTGGCGACAGTGGCGACCAGATCGATGGAACCCGGGAGGAGTGGCCGCTTACTGAAGCAATGCGGGAGGATCGACGTCCGCATGGGCTGGCCGCTGACCCGATAAGTCCATCCCTTGATGCCACGACGGGTTGTCAACATTTGCTACGTCGCCACGCGCCCGAGAGGGATCCGAGGGAAACGTACCGGCGGAAAAGAAGCTCCCCTTCCCTGTCTGGACGAGTACCCTGACTTTGTCATCGGCCAATACTCTCGTGTAAGCGTCGAAGAGCTCCTAGGTTTCGACGCAGTCAGTCAGTCAGCCTTGCTTCAATGAATCCAGTAATTCTGGGGGTCTAAAAGGACGAGGCGGTGCGTTCTTTACCTTCATAACATCCACATTGAGGGCGTTTGCGACTTGCGGGCGGTTGTAGGAGATGATGGCCACACCATCTTGTCGTATCTCGGTGCTCACGTACTGGGACTGTGCAGACAGAACCATAACGCTGATAGTGTCACACGGTTCAGACGCAGCGAGTGGACTTAGCGTACTGTCATTTCTCATCGATGAGGCAGAGTGACTTGGTGTTGGTTGAGTTTTGTAACATGCATGGCTTTATTATACCGAGGTTAGAATTCGGGCTGGAATGTCCAATCACGGCCTCCAGTCGTCCAAGAACTCTTCCTGAGAAAACCTATCGAAACTGACCACTTCTCAGGCATCAAGAAGGTGACCGAAAGAGACGTTTTGGGAACGCGAGAAAAGGGAGGCTCATGGACACGTATGGTATGGCCGAACGCCAACGACATCGTAAGTAGTGGTGTTAGATTTCTCCATCATCGGCTCGTCTCGACATTGACGTCTAGGCCCTGACAAGGCTGTAAGCTCTAGACGATACGATAGGAAGCATTGACCTGGAGCTGGGCCAACCCCGCAGGCCGTATCGGTATGGCCTGGGATCGAGTCAAATACTATACAAGAGGTACCTTTCGGAATACGTCCCTACCTTCCACCAAGTTCTAGCAAAAAAGGTGGAGCCTCTGACCGCAGTTGTAAAGACCTGTTTGACCAGAGTGTTTTCACAACTCGACCGTCACCAATCAATTGGCATTGTGACTAGTGGTCCATTGGACTGGTAGACGACCCAAACTAGGTAGCTCAGGCTGTCAAATCAGCGGAACTGGTAATCATGAACGGAATTCACCTCAATTCCACCGTCGCCCGCGCCACGTCGACGACAAAATCGCATAAATATAGGAAGGTGTTGGCGCCGCCAGGGATCATGTTCGCTTGTCTCTGCTCCATCAACAAGGAGAAGAAGAAGAAGCCAAGTGCGGAGGATTGATCATGTCTTCACCTTTTCCTGCATTTCCGATCTGTCAGATCACATTTCCTTCCAGCCCACTCATCAATGCGGCATTGGCTTATTCCAAGGAGCACACCGATGCATGCACCGTCAACCACACTCTGCGCTCGGCGGCCTTCTCGCTGCTTCTGATGCGCAAGTTGCCGCCGTTCGCAGCAGTCGACGACATTGACGTTGAGGCTGTCGTGCTAGCGAACATTCTCCACGATCTCGGCTGGGCAACTACCAAGTCTTTGTTGTCCCCGGACAAGCGTTTCGAGATCGACGGGGCCAATCTTGCGCGGGATCTTCTCAAGTCAGCAGCCGGCGAGAACAGCGCGGGATGGGACAAACACCGCGTGCAACTGATATGGGATGCCATTGCATTGCACACCACGCCTTCTATTGCTCAACACAAAGAGCCGGAAGTGTCCGCTGTTTCACTGGGCATCTTTGCTGATTTCGTTGGGCCAAACATACCGATCCCCGGAAACCCGATCTCGGTCGACGAGTACAAGGAGATTGTCACTGCGTTTCCTCGCCTCGGATTCAAAGATCACCTCGTCGAGATCATGTGTGGCCTGTGCCGTGAGAAGCCGGACACGACATTTGACAATTTTGTATCCGACTTTGGCAAGTCGTTCGGCCTCGATGGCAAAGGTACGGGCAAGGAAGACTTCAAGAAGCTGTGTGAGGAAAAGAGTCTTTCGAACATGCTCATGGGTGGTCTGGAGGCTTGTGAACAATGGGAGAGCTAGGTCGGGCACGAAAGTCCTTGCTGAAAGGAATCAAGGTGCTTCAAGTTTGATCTCGTATTTTCGGGGCAACGAGAAGATAGGTAGAGATGTGGTCCAGAGACGGTTGACACTGTCGCAGTCTGAATGCCTGTACACGCCCATCAATGCAGGACGTTGTATCCGAAGTCACTTGGTTGCAAGAATCCATCATCCCTTTTACCCTGATCAAGTGCGAGTTGGAAGTTAATCAATGGAGTTGTCACTTGGCATGATGTAACGGTTGCTATTCCTAGACATGCTCGTCGTCTCGAAAAAGCGTCTGGAGATGAGCGAGAAGGCTCCGTATGCTGTATATGATTACTATTGATTATTAGTTCTGAGACTCGGTGGGCGATGAATACTATGGAATCCTCCAGACCCACAACTAACTTAGCCTGACTGCATGTGGTTGGCCAGGCAAAGTTGCCTCTCCTGGAATTAGGTACGTCAGGGGCGCGATCCAGACCAAATTACTAATGAACCTCAGGGACACACCAACACCTCACCGTCGCTCTCTGCAATCCTTTCGAATCCTGGACGAGCATCTCATCCCTTGGCGTCGCTGGAGAGTGGATCATGTAGATGATAACGCCACAAAATGGACCGGGTCGCTACTCAGTCTGGGCGGGTCCTGCACCCGTCGTAGGTGACTACCTCCCTTACACTATTCCGACCATTGCGGACGAATTGTCCACGCGGAACCTCACGATGTGATCTCAGCCTGGTCAGGCTTTGCATTGCTAATCTGTTCGTCCGTGCTGCTCTGTCCGTCCGGAACACTGTCTCCTGGATGAGGGTCAACAAAGGATGGGCACAAGCCTACAAAAGGGCCAGACGCCCGTCCCAAAACTGTGACCAGCATACGGGCTTGATTGACATCACCCTTGCTTTACTGGTGGTATTACAGCAAGAAAACTTGCCAAAATGCTGGACACGATCAGAGATGCGCCCCTTGGTCAACTCATCCGGTTGGTCACCAACAATCGAGTACTCCTGTACCCAGACGAAAAACCTGGGTTCACTCTGCCAAAAGTGGTGCGTGGACTCTTCCATTCATGTACACCATCAAGTGACTAAGCTCGACAGGCTCCCGAAAGTCCAGGAGAGCCAGAGCCAGACAACTCAGGAAGGCCGAACACCGATGAAGAAGCTGCGGGAAGACTCAGTCTTGAGCGACAAGTCAGTCGAGTGTTCACCCCGGAACGTCTGGAGTTGGATCAACAGCTTGAACTGGAAAAGACAAAAAGCATCCCGATCTCTCTTCACAAGACTGCTGACGGAACGGTGCTTGTGGACTGGTACACGACTGATGATCCGGAAAATCCACAGAATTGGTCCAGGGGAAAGAAGCGTTTCGTCCTCATACAGATATGGTGATTAGCTCACTTACGTGAAGTACCTCACCGACACACACTGACACTTCACATTCCAGTCTCTACAGTTTCGCTATGTATGCTGGATCTAGTATCTATGTGGTGGGAGAGGCGTGAGTTGTACTATTTTTCGGGCTCCGAACATGTCTGACTATCTACAGGGGAGTCATGGAGGAATTTGGGGTTTCACAAGCTGCAGCGGCAATGGGTCTGGCAATCTATGTCATAGGATGTGAGTTTCTCATACATGGTTCCATGCTCGCTGGTCGAAACCGTGCAATATCTGACAAGATCAAGATGGAATCGGTCCTCTCCTGTTTGCACCCCTCAGCGAAATCCCAGCAATCGGCAGAAACGGAGTATATACGCCTACTTTCGTCCTCTTCGTCATCCTGTCCATTCCCACCGCAGTGGTCAAAAATTATGCCGGGCTCCTCGTCCTGCGATTCTTACAGGGCCTGTTGAGCAGTCCTAGTTTAGCGAACGGAGGCGCATCTGTGGCTGACATGGTAAGCAAAGTGGCCACTAGTACAAACTTGAACCGCGGCAACGACGAGGACGACGACTGATCGCTCGCTCTAGTACAATCTACTCATGCTTCCGCTCTACCTTTCTGCATGGACCGCCGCATGTTTTTGGGGTCCAGCATTGGGGCCTGTCATTGCTGGGTTCGCAGTCTCTGCCAAAGGGTGAGTGTTTCAGAATGTGCCTGCACAAGACTCCTGGTATCCATATTCGTATGTAGAAGTTCACATATTGATTCTCTGAACAGATGGCGCTGGTCGCTCTGGGAGCTCGTGTGGATGTCAGCTCCCATCCTTGTTCTCTACCTTATCGCCTGTCCGGAGACAAGCTCCTCTACCATCCTCCGTCGTCGAGCACAGCGCCTGCGTAAAACGCTGAGACGCAACGACCTTCGTTCCCAGAGCGAGATCCAGCAGGCCAATATGAGCGTATCCTCGATCTTTGTCGACGCCGTCATCAAGCCCGTGGAGATCATGATCAAAGATCCAGCTGTGCTCTTCACAAATGTCTACGTATGTGTTCCTCTATCTTCCTTGGACTTCCTACCCAACATGGTGCACCTTTCCCTTGTACCAACAAAGACACACAAAGCTTGAACCCTGCTTACCATGACCATGTTCTCCACATACAGACCGCTTTGACGTACGGGATATACTACTCATTCTTCGAGGTGTTTCCACTGGTGTATATTGACATCTACGGCTTCAACCTCGGCGAGCTGGGCTTGACATTCCTCACCATCGGCATAGCTTGTGTCATCGGCGTCAGCGTCTTCACTGCTTACCTGATGCTCTACCTCGTTCCAGACATTCGCAAACGAGGTCTTCGCGCACCCGAGCACCGCTTGGTCCCAGCTTTGTTTGCTGTCTGCACTTTGCCCATGGGGTACTTTATGTTCGGTAGGTACCCTTCTCTTGTATCCCCGCCATGCCATTCCCTTCTTCGCGTCTGCTGTACCATACCATACCCTACCTACAATTTGAACGTTGCAATGATAGCTGACCCTGCCTTTTTGAGCTTCAGGTTGGACTGCTCGTGCGTCCGTACATTGGATCGTGAGCTTGATTGGAGTCGTGATTCTCGTCTTCTCCAACTATATCATCTTCCAGTGCATCTTCGTGTACTTGCCGCTCTCGTACGCGCAGTACGCGGCGTCGTTGTTTGCCGGGAACGATCTGATCCGCGCCGCCTTCGCCGCCGGATGCGTCATCTTCTCTCGGCCCATGTTCATCACCCTCGGCGTCGGAGGAGGAGTCAGTCTCCTGGCTGGGTTGGCCGTCGTTGGCGTTTTCGGCATGTTCGCCCTGTACTTTTTCGGAGCCAAGTTGAGGGCAAGAAGTACCTTTGCCGTCTCATAATGTGACAGGACTTGGAAGGGAAGCTCGGAAACAAACCGTATCTATATTCAATGGATTAGCGTACTTTTTTGTTGTTAAGAGGGCGGCGCCGGATCGGTACAAGCGCAACCAGGAGGAAAGGGAACGGTACAGGACATATGGACGTACCCATTTATAGATAATTCTACGTTAGAACTAGGACAGTCAAAACTACTTTCTTAGGTGTTTTCGTTTATTTTGGTTTCTCGTTGATCTAGTATTTGCACTGCCTGATATCGGATATCTCAATTTACGCAGTGAAAACCTACTCTAAGGGTACCTAGAGATATATTAAATATGGGTACGCCTCAGAAATGTAATAAGACGACCGTGTAAATGGTCATCTCCCGTGTCGTGTTGGTTACCTAAGGTGTCTGTACGGTTCTGGACACTGATTGGTGTTTTCGTTTTTCAATCACTAAATATACAACTCATACACTGACTTTGGGGATCTTAGGCCTCGGGACAGCTTCGCACTGCTTCTTTAGTGTATATATGGACGTGGGCAAGGGAGGACATTCACTTGTGACTCGGTGTGACTCAGGCATCGACGTTCCACCAGTCAGACTCTGAGCCGAAAATGTTCTGGAGAAGACCGTCGCTAAAGGCCTCGGCCGGCAAGGCAAACAGTTCCAAGTCTGCGTGAACAACCTCAGCCGCTGATTGCCTTATGGGGTTATGCGTTGGTGTGGCACCCGAGTCTGGGATCATTTCCACGTCACTACCACCACTCCTACCATCGCCGCCCCTTCCGCCGCCGCTACTCGCTGAAGCAGGTCGCCAGACCGGTGGTGCCACGGGCCTGCCGGCGGCAGCATCGCTTGGATCCTCGGACATTTCCATGGTCGCCAGCTGACTGCCGATGCGGTCGCCTCTGAGCGATAGACTGCCGTCGAACAACCTGTGTCCTGGTCCGTCACCGGTAGACGCAGACATGGCCGGGTGGTCAGCTTCTCGACATCGGCTGTAGTCGAAGATGTCGAGCATCAGCGTCGTGTCGATGGAGATTACTCGGGACGTGGTGCCGCCGTCGAAGGCCTGGCTGGCCAGTAACTCTAGATTTTGTTTCTACCAGAGTCAGTGAAGTTTAGAGTCAATGTCAACGTAAATGTCAACGGCAAGAGTCAGAGTCAGTCATCAGTCAGTCAAGGCCATATATATTCATGTATATAACTTGATCCCCATTTTCTTCCAGAGATGGGTGCAGGGCAGTTTTAAACTTACAATACCACGACACCACTGCCACACGGCGGCCTGGCCGTCGAGGAAGGCCATGCATTTATCGAAGCTCTCGCGTGCGTTCCGGCTCAGCTCTTCGTTCTGGGAGCACGAGTAGAAGAGCTGGGCGGTGGCGGCTACCCCGACGATGTACCCCAGGAAGGGATCCGAGAGATCAAACCCCTTTCCCTGGACCATGGTGATCAGGCGGCAGACCCACGTGGAATGGACCAGGGCCGCCTCGGCCGACCTCCCCCAGAAGGTGTTGGGGATCTTCAGGCGCAGCGACTGCAGCCGCGACGTCAGGAGGAACGGATGGTTGATGACGGTGTAGATGCCGTGGTAGCTGAGTTGCAGAAACACCCACGGCGCCCAGTACGACCTCTCCTGCTCCAGGACCGCCGGGGGACACTGCGAGAACTGCTTCCCGTTGGACCGGTGGGGCTGCGGCAGCTGCGTCTCCAGCTCGTGCATGTACGACCCGATCAGCGTGTAATACGACTCCGGGGCCCAGGGGGCGCGTTCAAAGTCCGACGCGCACAGCTGGATGTAGTTCCTGACCTCGTTCCACAACGTGCTCAGGCACAGTGTGGAGCTCCAGATGCCGTGGTCCAGCGAGTCGCCGTCGACCGAGGCGTCGTCAGGGATCTGGGGTGGTTCCAGAGTGAGCGCCCGCCTGGCATGCTCCCCGACCGTCACGCAGTATCGGATGTTGTCGAGCCCGTCTCGAAGCGATATCACCCGGCTCCCCTGAGTCCCGTACAGCTGTTCCAGGAGGTAGATGCTCCAAAAGAGCCTCTTGGTCGGCTGGTCGGCCGGTGTCAGAGCGTGTGAGCGCAGGTCAAGACCAGCCGACCTCAGGAGATCGCGCGCCAGGTTCAAATGCAGCGGCGCGAGGAATGTGTCTCTGGCTGTCTTCCCCCATGGAGTGGGCGTCAGCATATTGTTCCCCCCTAAACACAGCAAGTATGGTAATGACTAATGCCTGCATGATATGTCCTTGTCACGCAGAGTGGGTGTACAACAGACCTGCAAATCCCGCCCACGCAAGAAGGCACAGGCTTTGAATCGTGCCGAGGCCAACGCCAGCGTTCGCGATCTTGAGCATCACTAGGTTCCGAGCCGCGTCGCCGAACCGCTGTGACATGTCGTTTCTGTTTTTGTCTCGGAAGTGTGCGCTTTCGGAGAATCGCGTTGTTATAGCGAGCATTGCCAGCAACAACTCCTCGGGCTGTTCGGAAAGTGACTCAAGCTCCGCGTCGCTGAATAACCAGACGGGCTGGCGATGGCAGTGTTGGCGGTAGAGCGCGACCATTTCGGAAAGACACTCGGGAGGTGGAAACAATCTGGCACGGCTCTGGGTCAGTCAAACGGTTGTAACCTTTAGCTGGATGGATGGGCTTGTTTTCGTCTCTGCGGCTCACTCTTGATGGAGAAACCTGGACCTTGTTAAGTCCATCTCGGGCGACAAGTGAGGCGTGTCGTGCTGCTCGGATCTAGACACTGATCTTCGTGTAACCATGTGCGTGGGATTGGCTGTTGGGTGACCGTCGGATGCCCTAGGCGGGTATTCAGCACTCTCTAATCCAGATCTCGCCGAGTGGACTGGTGTGAACTGACTCCGTGCGAGAGATGACTGCTTGCATCATGTCTTCAAGCTGCGACATCCGATGTTCCTATGGGGGAAGAGAGAGAGAGAGAGAGCCATCCATCAGTTTTGTGGCAAACTCATGGCGATAGTAGATAAGAGAGCACTCTAATTTCATACCAGGTCTCGATTAGGTGCTGAGCGATGCCAGGTGGTCGATGGAGGATGGTGGCCACCACCGCCGCCGCCACCGCCGTCGCCATACACACATTCTTGGTCCAGTCGAGCACAAGCAGAGCATGTTGGTCTTTGTCCGGGGCAGCGTGTCTTTTTCCGCCTGTAGAAAACGCGTACGTGTTAGTCCGGGCAGAAGCTGACTGTCCTGGCTGGTGTCTGGCTGGATAAGATCTCTGGGGGCTGAACATCGGAACTCACCTGCAGTTTCCACACGCTTGCTGGACGCGCTTGATGATCTTGAAAACCGGGGATGAAGGAGGCATTGGTTGGCTGACTTGTGAGTCAGTCCCAGCAACAACAAGGAGTCGGCGGGGATGATATCCCCAAGGTTGTTTCGTCGGCCTGCCGCGTCTTCAGCAAAGTAATCAAACGGGCAATAGTACAGTAAGTGAGCGGTTACAGTACATCTCGGCCGAAGACCGACGATCGGCCCAGTTATGGACGAGTCCAGGGATCCAATGACCCAAAACGGCGGCGTCAAAGTCAAAACAAGGGTAAACCCTATTACGCAGTTCCTATTACGCACACACTCGGGTAACCTTCCTAATATAGAATACTTTTCACCTGCCTCCCCCCTAAAGAGTGCCTATTTACAGCCTAAACTTTAGGCATCACCGCCTATATTTTAGACATTATTATGTACATTTTAGGCATTATCTCTATATTTTAGGTATCACTGTCTGAATTTTAGGTATTAATATCTAGATATTAAGCATTATAATTATAGATTCATCAATTCTAATCACCTCCTCTTCAACTTATCTCTTTTAACTGTTAAGATCATGAGATTATCTCTATTCTGTTGTTTTGATTGTCGCTACATCACTTATGGTTAAGGATTAGGCATGAATAAAATAATTAGGCGTGCCTAAAGCTACGCCAAGATAGGCGCTAACTAAATGGGGATGTGTGCGTAATAGGAACCCTTGGGTGCGTAATAGGGTTTACCCAAAACAAGCCATTATCTGGCGGGTTCCCCCGTCAGCTCGTCTGTGATAGGCCATTCCAACTACTACGGAGTGCAATGCTACCGCTCTCTATGATTTGTTGTCCCTAGTGGTCTCCCTCTGAGGAAGGGCAAACTAATACAGGCGTCTACAAAGTGCCATTTCTCTGCAACACATCTGCCGTTGCTGAGGGAGTGAGGCCGAATACTTATTCTCAAAGCGACTGACCATGCGACGAGGCCCGTGTTGGGAAAGCGACCAATGAACCGTACAAGCTTGGAGAGGAATTACAGGGTTTGAGTGAGAGGGTTGTTAAAGAAAGGCGCGAGAGGCGTCTAGTGATAAGGTATCAGCTCCTTCAACATGTCCTCCACATATCGCTTCTGCTCCTCGAGGAAAGCTCTTGTGCCATCAAGGTCAAACCCATCCGGCTTGCCGAAACTCTCGATCAGATCCTGACGCTTGGTCCGCATGCGCGTCTCCAGCACTTGCAAGCGATACTCTGCGTACTGATGATACAGAAGATTGAGGTCGGTGATGCCCCTGAGGCCGGCGAGGCTGGTCTCGTCTTTGCAGAACGGCGACTTGGGCCGGAAAGACGTCACCATACTGATTCGTTCTCGACCCCCCCAAGCCTTCAGAGCCTGGTGCTCAATGTAGCGTCCCTGCAAGATCACCGCGGTGCCCTGGTTGCAAGACTACCCGTTAGGAACATCCTGGCTTCTTGGTGTTACGGTAGACTCCGGTAGGTAGGTTCTGCTCACCATAGTCGCACCACGGACTTTCATGGTGTCGCCAGAGGCCGTTCGCAGAGCCGTCTCTCCCCCCTTCATGTCTGTGCAATCCGACAACATCGTGACCACGACAAAGGGGTAGCTGTCGTAGTGCCAACCGAAGGCAGGTGCCTCGTCTGCGGTCTCCTTCTCAACAGCGGCAGCGGGTGCAGCGTCATTGCCCGTATCCTCATTGGTTGCGATGTTAATATGCCCAACGTCGATATCCATGCCTACAACGAGATCCACCCCGGCGACTTTCGATACGATGGCCAGGACTTCGGGGTGGTGCCACACACTATATGCGAACGGTCCATAGCTAGAACGGGCAACGAGGTCAGTGTGGGGACTTTGAAGCGACAAGACGGAGGGGAGGACGAGCTGTACTCAGCAGCGTAGGCGCGAATCATGTTCGAGGCAAAACTGGACGACACTTGACAGTGATCAAGAACAGGTTGGCTGAAGATCTCGGCCCGGAATTGTTCTATCGCTTTCGTGGTGAAAAGGGGAAAGGGTTCGGTTACGGCCACCGGGGAGATGCCTTGTCCTTCCAATCCAATATCCTTCATGGCGATGACTTTCTCTGGGGCCCGGAAATCCAAGTGTACCGCAGGGTCAAAGGCTGTCTTCACTGTTTTTGAAGCATTTTCCGACAAGTATTGAGGCAGTTTTGTCCGCGGACGAGTGACCGTCCTCTGCAACGGCGCCACAGGCGTAGGAGCCGGCATATTCATACAAGGTGGAATTGAAGAAGAGCCGGTACCTACTTTTATAGTGAAGACGTCTGCGGTTTAAGAAGTGCTCAGCCCGTGACCACAGTAATGGGAGAGACAGGTGTATTCGTGTCTCTCGGATCCGTAGCGCCCGACGTTAGCTCTCAAATTAGACGTCTGTACAGACAGAAGCATTCAAAGTTCACCCCACAAGGCTGTGGGACACGTGAGTAAGACACAGAGAACCATTGCAGAAGTCCTCAGCGAGGAACCTTCCAGTCTTGAGGGCATCTTGCTGTGGGGAGGCTGCCAAAGCGAGCACCGGAGGGCACAGTGATTGAAGCTTTCGGTGCTCGCAAGCCATGTCCTGATAGACGCACTTTTGGTTTACGCGCCCTGAGCAACGCTCTGTGGCCGTCAAAGTCGACTCGAATAGGAGCTTATCGCAGAAGCGTTGTTCACACTCTACCCAGATGAGCGAATGCCGCCGCCACTCAAGCTACAGTAGATAGATGGAGTACGCGGTTCGGCGCCGATTCCGATCACATGACCCGGCTCGGTTGGAAGACGGATGCTCTCGATCCTTGTAGTGTGTGTTTGAGACTGACCTTCAGCGATCTGAAGAAGAACGGGGGCACGTATCTCACTTGTCCAGAAACAGGTTCGCTTATGCGGCGATACGCACTTGCTGAACTCTGCTTGCGAGGCAAAAGCAGGGTTTGTGTGGGCTGAATGTGAAAAGAGCTACGCTGGACGAAACTGGCATGGATTTGCCAGTCGTTTGGTACGGAAGAGCGTAGTGCTTACCGGTCGCGCCGTGTCTGATAAGAGGGAGCAGTCATGGTCCGTGCAGTGCCTCTGTCTTTGCCCTTCCGGAGAGCGTTGTACTTTGTGATATTTGGAACTTCGACATAATTGGAACGACGGAAGACGCAAAACGTTCAAAGGCAGAAAAGCAACGACAACCTGTGCTTGTGTCATCAAACCTCGGCTGCACGTGGCTATCGCCCTAAAGACTGCCTGATCCAACGAGGTGTCGAAGAGTTTTACCGTCTATTGTACGCTTCGTTATATCCTACTGCAATAAGCTCATCAATCTAGATACAAAGACATGATCCTTCATCTTTGATCTCACTGGTAGCCTTGTTGTCCTGGATGTGAAGGCATCCGGCCTTAGAATCCCGGGGACCCGTTCTAACAGCTCCCTGCGTAGTACAGCAGTATCGACGACCCCCGAAGAGTCTAGACACAGTCACGAGGAATGTCAAAGGAATAGTCCCGGTTGAAAATCTGCTCTTTCCCTTCCCAAGCTTCGAGATGTGCCGTCATCTTGAAATCTGTCCGAGTGGCCGACATTTTCGCCCACCCGGCCACAGCGAGATCCAGCTCATCGCGCCCGAACTCCTTCCGGAACCGCTGCTCTGCACGACCCGACAATGGGTCGTCCGGATGTACAGAACATATAACGCTCTGTTCACTTCCATAGCGCCAGCCAGTTTCTTTGTTTTCCCAGAGCCCGGCATCTTCTTCGAGATGGATCGTGACGACTGACGAATTCAGATCCTGCACGACTTTGTTACTCGACCGAGCTGGGCGTATTATGCGAGTCTTGAGGGGTGTGCCGTTGACCGCGGGTTCGAATGGCTTGAGAACGGAATCCAGGTGACTCTCAGCACGGAAGGGCAGATTCAGCGTGGAATGAGCGCAATCTATCGTCAAATTCGTAGCCTCAGGGGCTGGCCAGATGGTTGGGAAGTAGGAAGTGGACAAGGCCAGTCGGATGCGGCTTCCTACGCCGATTTGCTGGCCTAGCTCATTCAGCTTGACGGTGACATCGTAGAAACGACCAGGTTCGAGCAACTCCAAGTCGGCGTGACTGTTGCGATGCGTCAGGTTGAGAAGACCCCATGAAATCCGAGTGGCCGAGCCGTCGGGTAATATCTCGGAGAGAACGGCAGCGAGGACTGCATTGGGCTTATCACTTGCAATCCTGAGCTGGAGGGATACTTCACCGAGGAGGTTCAAGGGTTCAGTCAACTCTTGGCTGTCGAAGATCAAAGACCCTCCAGCCTCTTGCCGCTGGTCGGCCGGTGCATCAGCGTCCAAACCGAAGACGCACCACCTGCCAGAGGCGAATCCCGTCGTCTGTGGCGAGCAAAAGGTTAAACGCTCGCTGCTGGGAGAAATCCCGGTTGTCAGACACCCTGGTGCAAGACTCATGCTGTGTGGGGTCACATTCGAACTTGGCCAGCTGCTCTCAGCAACCCAACGGCCGGGTCGAAAGTCGTAATGAGTTCTTGGTGGTACCGTGTCTTGTATATAGCAACGAAGCTCTGGCTCATCCATGATACCCGTTTCCACGTTCTTCAACCACTTATCCCACCAGCGTATAGACTCTTGCAGGAACCCGATTTGGGGACCCGGCTCTGCAAAATTCGGATACTTGTGAGCCCAGGGTCCGACCAACCCTTTCTTAGGGCATTTGAGATTTTGGAGGTTGCTGAAAATAGTGTTTGAGTATGGATCCATCCATCCTCCAACCAGATAGATGGGGCACTGCACATCGTCGTAATTTTCGCAGATAGAAGCGTGCTTCCAGAAATCGTCACGACGCTGGTGACGATGCCAGTCTACCACGTACAGACCACCCGCTTCCAATCGGGCCAACCAGAGGTCTCGCCATTTCTCCCCGACGAGGGCTGGATCTGGTGGCAGAGGGTTCATGCTGAACATGGTGGCACCCCACAGGAAATTTTCAACAAGGAGGCAGCCGCCCATATAATGGATGTCATCGGCGTAGCGGTCGTCGGTTGAGCAAATTGTGATGACGGCTTTGAGCTCGGGAGGCCGACGGGCGGCTACCTGGAGGCCATTGAAGCCACCCCAGGAGATCCCGATCATTCCAATGGACCCGGTGCACCAGGGTTGGCCGGCTATCCATCGCAAAACCTCAAGGGCATCGTCCTGCTCCTGCTTGAGGTACTCTCCCCTCAAGATTCCTTCCGAGTCACCTGTTCCGCGCATGTCCACCCTCACACAGGCATACCCGTGAGCGGCGACGTAGGGATGGTTCGATGCATCTCGGGGTGCTGTGTAATCGCGCTTTCGATACGGCAGATACTCAAGAATCGCCGGTACTGGACTGGCAATAGAATCCTCGGGGCGCCAAATCTGCGCGGAGAGAACGGTCGTATCAGACAGGGGAATCAGGCAGTGTTCATCAACACGTATCGGAACTTGACTGGAACCCATGGATGCAAACCTGTAACTCAGCTCTGTGACTTGTGGTTTGGCAGGGGTAGATTCTGTGCCAGGTACTCGTACGGCATATCACCACTGCACCGACGCGTTATTTAGCACGTCAAGCTTTTCTGACCTGGGATGCTTGGACGAGCTTGATTTCCCAACGTGGTGCTGAAACCCGGCCACGGTGCCGGAGTGGCTGCGCTATCCTCCGCGGCCTGTAAGAACCCCGAGCCTTGGTGTTGCTTATCTGTGGAGCAGCAGATGATTCTTGCGCGGCCATTTTGAGATGGTCAGAGCAATTGCATTTGCCGACAATCCAGGTCAGGGCAATGGCATGAGGCACTGGACATCATATGACCGGGTCGGTGCCGGGGACAGTGTTCTGTTCTGATAGCAGTATCGAGCTGTCCTCCATATCCTGTAATCCATGGATATACTATTTAAGACCCTCTTTTTTCCAATTCTGGGCTTTCTGGGCTTTCTGGGCTTACAGCTCGTCACCTCCAAATCCACTGCACAAGACGACGTCCACAGGGTGGTAGGCAATTATGTCGGATCACCGCGTTGAGTCGGGGGAAAGACCTCTGAAAGATGCCCCAATGTCTGACGACGAGGCTGTCCTTGCAGCATTGGGCAGGAAGGACCTCCTTGTGGTAAGAAAAGGCCGTCTTTCAGATGAGTCCTTGTGAAAAAATGCTGATATGTGTAAATGCAGAGGAACTGGGGGTTTTGGAATATCCTCGGGTTCGCAGTCACCAATTTATGCTCCTGGGAATTTGCAACCTCGTATGACAACGTTTGTTAGTGTGCCATTGACAACACAAACTGACTGCTGGCGATAGCCTCATCGGTTCAACATTCCTCAATGGAGGGCCAGTCGCCGTTGTGTACGGGTTCATTGCAACCTTTTTTGGTATTCTCGCTATCAACGCCTCCCTTGCTGAGATGGCGTCCATGTGAGTCCTTTTGGCGATCCGCCTGCTTCTCGAAAAAGGACAGGGAGGACTGACGATCGTGTTTGAATGTAGGTATCCTGTCGCAGGTGGCCAATACTTTTGGACCTTCCACTTCGCGCCTCCAAGAATTAGGGTGTTTCTGAGCTACCTGCAAGGTGTGTGGATCCTCCATGCATTCCTCCTTGTCAAAAGAGACTCTGACCCGATCGCCTGCCATTCTTTAGGCTGGTTAACGTCCATCGCGTGGCAAGTTGGTTTTGTCAGCACGACCGTCTTCCTGGCCGAGCAGATCGAAGCCTTGATTGTCCTGAATCACAGCTCCTATGTACCCAAGGGCTGGCACACGTTCCTTCTGATGACCATGTTCTCTCTGATCGGACTGGTCATTCTGACAGTTGGCAAGAAGGTCTTACCGGTGATGCAGACAATTTCGGGCGTCGTGCACATTGTCTTCTTCGTGATCATTACCGTCGTCCTCCTGAGCATGAGCAGCAAGGCTTCGTCGAAATTTGTTTGGACAAAGTTCGTTAACAACAGCGGATGGTCTAACAATGGCATCAGCTTCTGCATTGGTCTTTTGCTGCCTGCATTTTCCATCTCAGGGGCTGACGGTTGCGTCCACATGGCCGAGGAAGTACGAAACGCCAATCGAAACATACCCCGGGCGTTCGTCTATACCCTCCTCATCAACGGCACCATGGCATTTGCTTTCATGGTCGTCAGCCTTTACTGTATCACCGACTTGGATGCTGTTCTTGACACTCCGACCGGGTTTCCGATTATTGAGATTTTCCGTCAGGCAACGAAATCCAATGGTGCGGCTACCGTCATGGATGTCATGATGATGCTTATCCAGGCAACCTGCTCTTTCTGTCTATTGGCAGCTGCAAGCCGGTTGGCGTGGTCCTTTTCTCGTGAGGAAGGCTTCCCTGGCGCCAGAACCCTTGCGAAGGTGAGAGTTGGCCTCGACTGAATACCGTCACAATCTCTGACAGTCCGGCTAGGTCGATTCGAGGTTGGAGGTCCCTCTCAATGCCATTCTCCTAAGCGTCACCATATCGATCCTGCTCTCGACCATCGTGATTGGGAGCTCCGTGGCACTAGAGGCCATTGTGTCGTTGTGTACCCTCTCCGCTTTCATGTCTTACACCTTGCCTATCGGGTCCTTCTTGTGGTTCAGACTCACTCGGACAACACCAATCGCGTACGGCCCGTGGAGTCTGGGTCGCTGGGGTGTCCCGATCAATATTTTCGCCCTGTGCTGGTGCATCTTTTTCGTGGTCATCCTGCCGTTCCCGTCCGAGATGCCGGTAACCTGGGAAGACATGAACTATGCCGGCCCCATCGCTGGGGCCGTCTTCTGCATCTTGACCGTCGACTGGCTATTCCGAGCACGATATCAGTATTTCGGGCCTAGAATGGAAATCACTCTGGAAGGCACAGGTGAGGAACCTTTCGAAGTTGAGCAACGGCAAGAAGTGACTGCCACTAAGGGAAAGTTGCCATGAGTATCATCTGCTCAAAAAGGAAAATCTGAGGATCTTAGGCCGGGCTGGTATTGACGTTGTACCATGCAATGCAAGGCAATCTATCTATTGCTATGAACCATTACTCAGAAGGAATGTACATTCTCGGGATTCTCTTTTATCTGTTCGGGGGCGGATACTGGTGACATGAATAACGTGAATCATAAATGTTTTCGGAAACGCCTTGTGGTTCTAGTCAGATGGGCACTGAACGCTGAAATTCGCGTGTCGAATCATGGCGCGACAGCCTCCACGAACGGCAACTCGACATCCATCAAGAACGTGGTCTTCACTGGTTCTGAGGTCTCCGCGATGCTCGCATTGCCAAAACACGTCTCGACGAACGACCCGGCCGCGGCTTGTTTAGTTGCCACGATTCCCGCGTACTGCGACAATGGGCACGAACGGCCGGGACCCGCGTCGCAGCCCACGACGGGGTATACGGCGTCGTTGAGTAGGATCTGGATATATTGGCCGTTGTTCGAGCACGTGAGTCTTTCGAACGAGATCGTCCCTCTCATCGTCGTATAGTGAGACGCGATGTATCTCCGCTGAGGCGGGATGTGTGTCGCTGGGAGTGGCTCCTGGTCGTCGAAAACACCAATCAGACTGGCGAGCTGGTTGATCTGTCCATCATTGGTGAAGGCGGCAATAAGCCGGGGCGGCGAGAAAGTACTACTCGTTGCACTGCCATTGCTAGTATCACTCGACACATAGACCTTGCTCGGCCCGTCCTGAAAGCGTGCCACCACGGCCTCAAGAAAGGGTAGCATGAAGGTGTTATTCTTCAAGGCGCCGGGCCCGGATCCGTAGTAGTAGCGGATGTCTTGGGCGTATTCATACTGCTCGAGCTCATCTTCGCTCAGGACAGAGCACCATGGGCTGGTGCGTCCCGTGATCTGTGTTTCATATCCGCAGAGAGTCGCGAACACAGCCACGTCGTCTTTGGTGAAGTTGAGGGCCCCTGGAGGCGTTGTGAGGTTGTTGATGCGCTCGGCGATCTGGGGAAGATAGATGTTGGCCCATGTGGTGGCGAAAGCGCCTCCACTGTCGTCTTCGTAGGCAGGGCACAGGTCAGAGGGTGCCAGGGAGTTGCCCAAGCTGCGCGGATCCGTGTTGTTCAGCACATACACGGTGCCCAGGGTGGTCGCGTTGGGCCCGACAAAGCCTCTAGTGAACAGTCTCGCGGAATCGATGACACGGGGCTGATTCGCCTGGTACCGGTTCGCCCAGGCCACGAATGCCTCGCCGTCGGAGTACAGCTGTGGATACCGCCATCGGTAAGCCACGCCCATATCGTAGAGTTCCTTGTACCCTCCTGGTGAGATCTGAGAGATCTGTTGCTGCGGGTGGGTGAACACGGGTTGCCATTCCTTCACGAATGCCAGTTGCTCATCCGCCTCGAACGGGGTCGTCACGTTCTGAATCTTCCAATAGAGCTCCTGCCAGTCAGAGTATGCACCGGGGTCAGGATAGCGTGAGCCATGTCTGCTGATGAACGCAGCCATGTCCACTGTGCACCCTGCCGGAGTGTCTGCTGAGATCTGGTTGACATTGGGACCGGGGAACCATGGGGAACTGCCTCCTAGAAGAGGGGGAAATGTTGCACCTCCTATAGATGGTTGCATTTCACCAAATGGAGGTCCCGCGTCCGCCACAACCTGCAGCAACGCTGATACCACCACAATCTGGAAGGAGATAGGCATTCCAGCTGAGGTGCGGCCTCCCACAGTACGTGAACAACGAAACGAAAATTTTCCTTACAAGCTCGTTTGCTCGGTGAAAGTGAAAAAATCTCCGTCCAGAACAGTTTACGGCGAGGCTTTTATACGTACCCTATAATAGTGCTCTTCCTCTAGGCTCTGTGGTTCCGTATGTACTGCACTGCAGAGGCCGGAGGGTTCCCAAAATGGACGGCAAAGGTGGAGCAACCCCCACTGGCATCCACTCCACGTGCTCATATCTTGATGTTGAGTCGTCTTACAGGCTTTCGGATTGAGAGCCTCAGACCCGGGATCCTTTGTTGACTGCCCCAGTGCGTACGTCGGGCATGGGTTGAAAACCGCCGAGTTCGGCGTAAGCCCCAGTGGGAGGCAGTTTTCACCACGTTTAGCGGCTAAGATGATTGAGATCCGTACCGCTTCTGGGTAAGTAAGTGCTAGCAGATATGTCCTCACGCTTGGTTAGTGTGGTATATGAACTCTAATATCTAGAATGTCTCGAACAGGCTGAGTTGCGGGAACATCCAGTAGAAATAGCCAGCTTCATTGCTGTACGAAGCAAAAGTAAGGTGAAACGCCAGGTCGATCGTCCCCGGGTGAAGATAAGCATCACATTGTGCGGTTCGTTCCGCAGGCAGCGATTGGCCCCGATTACAGTTCAGTACTTCAGGTATATATGGTCAGTGTAGGTCTTCCGCTTTTGCAGTGCCTTGACATCTCCACAGATTCTATGGTCAGTATTAGAAGCTGCCAGGACCGGTTCCAAAACCGTTAGTTGCACAGGTTACTATCGGAAACTATCTATATGTACTTAGGTTCTATGCTCTGTGTTTAACCACGAACGAATCTTGATGTCTACTGCCCCTCTACCTTCGGTTTGAGCATGGCATCCACAATCTTGCCCTGTTTCTGTTCCTCCTTGAGGACCGGCCTGGGAATCTCAAACCCGTCGAGAACCCTCGCGTACGTGATCCCACCCAGTCTTGCAATCGGTCTCAACACCTCTGGCGCGATGAGACTTCGGTCCTCATTGATGGCGTCCTCCCTCACCCAAAAGTGTACACCCTCAATCACGGCCAACACGCCCGTCTTCTTGCCGGGAGACGTTCTCGACTCGAATTCCTGCGTGTTGAGTAGTTTCCCCTCGACGCTGAACACGGCCTCCTTGACCCTCGACGCGCCCACGACGTGGCTCTGTGCGGGTGTCAGGCCCGACACGGACCACTCGCTCTCGCCGTACGGGAGGTCGATGGCGCACGAATTGGCGGCCTCGACGTAGTCCTCGCTGATGATGTTGATGACGCACTCCCCCGTGTCGATCAGGTTCTTGAGCGTGTCTTTGGCGTTGTCGAAGCCGCCACTGAACCCGACCCCGAAGATGGGCGGGTCGTGGTTGAAGACCTGCGTGTAGCTGAAAGGTGCGAGGTTGGTGGACGCCCCGTCCTTGGATCTGGTGGAGAGAAACCCTATCGGCCTCGGGATGATGCCTGAGATGAGCAGTTTGTAGTTCAGCACCGGCGCGCGTCCCTCGGCGTTGGGGTCGATCGAGACGTGGGATTGGCTCAGGCCTGACTTGTCCGAGGCCCCGCTACCGTAGGTCCAGGAAGGATCGCGGGTCTTGGTGTAGTGCCATTTGCGGTCCTCTTCCCAGTCTGGTCGGGAGGCTTGCACCTTGGAGAAGTCGCCGTGAGGGTTTCGTTTGATTGTTGCTTCGGCGTCGTGCTTCTCTTGCGCTTCTTGCGGCTTGGATTCGGTCGACGACATCGGAACTGTGTGGGAATCTAGACGGTGCGAGCGTTGATGACAGTGTTGGTCTGAGTGTTGGCTTGGAAGAAAGGACGAAGGGGGCGAGAACTGGATTAAGTACGAGTAGGAGTTCGGGCCTGGAGATTATATCATCACTGGTCTAGTTTGATGATACAATCTGCTCGTACTATGTTGGTACGTACGAGATGGTTTTGTACAGTATTTGTCATTCGCAGTAGCGAGAGAATCTTCAACGACAAGGTGGGTTGAGTTGGCTTGGTTGGGTCTTCCTTACGTCATCACAAGGACCCGCCGCAGCCTTGTCTCCGCTTAGTCATCGCCCTGCAACTCCTGACCCGCAGCCTTGTGCCTTAATGCACCAAGGAGATGCCCGCCCCCCTTATCCATTATCCGTATCACACTGCGGGGTTGGAGCCCCTGCTGAGCAACGACTTACGAGAACAAATCCCGTCTACTGGCTATCGATAGTTCGAGGACGAAGTAGGGATTATTCTTCCATCGATCCATGTGAAAAGAGGGGCCTGGATCATCAATCCTCGCTTGTACATTCGACCTCACCTCCCACAGTCTCCCACAGTCCTCAACAGTCACCCTAAGGACACCATCCAAGCCGTGGCCAAACAACTAACGACCTCCTACGCACAGATAGTCCTGTATAGGCAAGAGCAAGACTCCTCTGACCCAGAGACTCGAAGCACATACCTGATACCGTTCACACCTTCGTCAATCTTCCTCCGTGTCGATCAACGCACTGGGGTGGCACAACATGTCCGACATCTCGACCTACTCTCTCGGCGACTTCGCGCTGCAATCGGGCGAAACCATCCCGGGGGCCTTCATCGCGTACAAAACGTTTGGGTCGCCGTCCAATCCTGCGATTGTGTATCCGACGTGGTTCAGCGGGCTAATCAGCGACAACGAATGGCTCGTGGGGAGCGACAAGGCGCTCGACCCTCGGCGGTACTTCATCATCATCCCGGCGCTCTTTGGAAACGGCCAGTCCATCTCGCCGTCCAACTCGGCCGTGTCGCCGTTCCCCAAAGTGACATTCTACGACAACGTGCGCGCGCAGCACGCCCTGGTGACCCAGCACCTCGGCATCACGCACCTCCGGCTCGTGACGGGCTGGTCCATGGGCGCGGCGCAGTCGTTCCAGTGGGCCACGCAGTACCCGGCGTTCATGGACATCGTGGTGCCCTTTTGCGGCTCCGCCCGGACCAGCATCCACAACCAGACGATGCTCGAGGGCGTCAAGGTCGCCCTCCTCGCGGCCAAAGGGATCTCGTCGGCGGGGCCGGCCCTTGACCGCGTCGTCGTCGTCGACGACGAGGAGACGGCCTCCGAGTGGACCGCCGCCGAACGCACCGTCGGGCTCAAAGCCTTCGGACGCGCCTACGCCGGCTGGGGCTTCAGCCAGACCTTCTACCGGCAGCGGCTCCACGAAACGGCCTACGGGGCCAAGTCGCTCGAGGACTTCCTCCAGACCTTCTGGGAACCGTGGGCCTTGAGCAAGGACCCCGAGAACCTCCTGACCATGCTGTGGACCTGGGCCAACGGCGACGTGAGTCTCCAGGAGCCCTACAACGGAGACTTTGAAAAGGCAATGGCCGCCATCAAGGCCAAAACCCTCGTGCTGCCGAGCAAGACGGATTTGTACTTTCCGTGAGTATTCTCATCACCATGTCAATCCGCCGCCCCCGTCGTTTTTCTCTTGGTATTTTTGTCTGCCCTCCCAAATTCCAACACCTGCCCCGCAACACCCCCTTTGCTCCCCCTATACAGACGCTAACGTCACGCACCCGCGTCGATCAGACCCGAGGATTCAGAGTACGAAGTATCGTCCATGTCCCCCGGCGTCGGAACCCTCGACGTCTACCCCTCGGTCTGGGGACACTGGGCCGGTGGCCCCCCCGGGAACATGGAAGACGTCAAATGGCTAGATGAGCGACTTGCGAAACTTCTCGCTGAAGCACCAGCCTTGAGCTGAACAGAACTACACACGGCAAAGAGTCTGGCGTTGCTGGCACGGGACGAGGATGCTAGGCATAATGCCCTCCCGTGCCATAGAAACATCGATCTACTACCAGAGGAATAAACACATTATCGTGACGAATCCAGTGGGTAGCACGTATAGTGCAGTGACCATCAGTCATGGTATATTGAGGTTCATGAAGATAATTCCTTGGTCGATTCGAGACCTCTTCGCCCACGAGACCTCATGTCTTGGGTATTTTCTCATCTCCTTTGCCCATAGCGTCGTGCGAAAAAGTGAGGCGTAAATCGTGGCATCGATCCATTCTAGACATGCCGCCCGCCCCAACAAGAATGTGTGAATTTGCACACGTACCGTCTTATGCGTCAAAACCCTACCCACGTTAATGCAAGCCGTACCGAACACCATCCTTGCGCCATCCTCTTGCCTAGAGAACCCAAGTCATTAAAATCGTGACAACGCCAAATCAGGGCCACTCGCAAACATCCATTCCCAATTGCCGACATAAAACTTCCACCAGCTCTTGGGGCAGCTTGAATCTCCCTGGAACCGACCGAGCGTGAGATTAATGAGATTGATCCAACCCATCCTTTTTCCCATCCGTGGCTATACCCACACTCTGATGCTTTTCCCAATGATCTAATAACTTTCCAACCTCCTTGAAACTGACAGGCTTTGTCATGTAGATATCACACCCAGAGTCAAACACCTCTGTTTGGTCCTTACCGCTTGCGAGTCCCGTCAGCGCAATGATCATCGCGCCGGGATCAGAGCCTCTATTACCCTTGCTATCCTCGAACTGACGAATTGCCCTTGTGGCGTCGAACCCATTCATCACGGGCATCGAAATATCCATAAAGATGACATCAAAAGGTACCTCTGCTTTCTTGACCGCTTCAACCGCCTGCTCACCATCTTCGGCCTGAATAATACGGGTGTATTTCCTTTTCGTCCGGAGATACGTCTCCAGCAGTCGAAGATTGATTTTATTGTCGTCTACGAGAAGAACGTGAGGGTCAACCCGTTCAGGTTTTGACTCGGTCATCGGCTGGGAAGGACGAGGCGTTTCAATTGGCGTGGTCCCGGTGCTTGGCGTGTTATGCAGCGGACCATTTCCTGACATACTCCTCTTCCGCTCGCGACGAACCCTTGATGCGTCTTGCGTCTGTATGGGGAACGGGAACGAATCGCCTTCACTGACATGAGTGCGAGGTGTCCGCAGAGCGATGATAGGCTCATGAAGCACCATCTGTGCGTTTTGGCTGGCCTGTGACGCAGCAAATGTCTCGGTGGCTTGCACAATCTTGGCCTTGTCGTTCTGTCCAGGAGGATTCAAGTCCATGTCACGCAATTCCTCCGTGACGGACTCGAGTGCTGTTCGAGTAGTTGCTGGACTGGGAAGGGGGAGGGGTGACTTGATGGAGGCGGCGGCAGACTGTGGATTCTGAGCTTGCTTCTTGTCCAAAGCAATGCGTATACTCCGCGCAAGCTTATGGGGCCCGCACGGCGTCGAGACGAACTCCACCACGCTTGCTATCCGTTGTTCAAGCGAGCGTAGCAACGCGGCACTGTGTTTACTCGAGACAGAGCACATCACTATGAGAGCAGGGCGGTTTCCTGGCGTTCCCATAGTATCCTCGATCAGCTTCTCCAAGTGTTCCTCTCTGACAAGAACAACACTGCAGGTCTTGTAGAGCACCGAATCGACAAACTGGATATTGTACCATTCCTGCACGTACGACCTGACCACCTGACTCAACTCAACGTCAATCTCAGGCACAGGCTGGTAGAATGTCATTGTAGCATCTGCTGAGTTTTCTTGAAGAAAACTGATACTGTCATCTCCACCCGAGGCACTTGAAGACACCGTGGCGCCAGACCAGGGGGTTGTTTGGGTCGAGGTTTGACCAGGAAGAGGTCTTTTCATAGGCAACGTCACCTCGACCGTTGTTCCTTGATCAACTTTGCTCTTCACGTTGATCGAACCACCAAGCATGAGAACGATACTTCTAACGATACTCATGCCCAGCCCGGTACCTGGAGCTAATGCATTTTCTTGGGCAAATGGTACAAATAGCTTCTTTGAGAGGAATTCTTGGGATATGCCTTTGCCAGTATCCGTTACCGTGAAAACCATCAAATCATTGCCATCAACCTCATTTGACGGCTTCAATTGTAAGTTAACGTGTATCGAGCCCTGGCTAGTATATTTGATGGCATTTCCAGTAATGTTCATAATGATGCGTCGAATTGCTCCAGGTTGAGTTAAAAAATTCCAGTCGGCTTGCTGAACATCGATCAAGATATCGACGGTATCTGGACCTGATCCATCCTGTTTGCCAAGTCGGGTCCCTCGCCCTCGAGCGTGGCGAGAAATGTCGGTTATGTCAATCCCAGAATTGTAAGTATGGCCAAGAACTAGTCCATCCACCACTTCTTCCAAAACAGCAGAGACGTCGGTCACACCGAACAGCTGCAGTAGAGGGGGAGCACCATGAGATAGTGGCTTGGACGAATTTTCGGGCCCCAGGAAATTATTCCGTTTGGAACCGGTCGATTTCCGATTAGAGGCCTGCCATACTCTCTGAAACGAATTGACTTTGGAGAAGTCTAGAACGTGGTTAATGGTGTCTAACAAGGTCCGACCACATGAATCAATCGTATCAACTAGAGATCTTTGAAAACCCGTAAGATCGGTCTCGGTGAGGAACTCCACACTAGCTAACAATCCATGGAGAGGTGACCGCATCTCGTGCGAAATAGTGCCGACAAAGTCGCTCTTTTGTTTGTCGGCTGCCATGGTATCGAGTCGGCTGCACTCCGCCATCAGGGTGCTGCAGAATGAATTGAGGAAAGGCAATTCGACGGTAGAGCTGAAAGATCTCGTTTCTAGTGATGTCGTGACGAAGCAAGCGTGAGCAAACGACCCGGTGCTGGCATCCCACAAGGGAGCGAAGAGCACCTGTAAAGCGGAAGGGAATGCCTTTCTCAGAGCATCCATCTCTATCTGTTTTCGTCTGCTCCGTTTGCGATGGTGTGACGGAGAGTCCGGTACGGTCTTGTCCTCCTCTGAAGACGAGACGCCAGTAATGTCCATGGACCATAACTTTCCTCCTGGGTACCGTCGCATCAGATGTTGCAGCATATCATCATCGATGCCTCTTGCGTGCGTCAATTCTTTCTCTGGGAGACAGGGCTCCGTCTGCGTCGAGTAGGCAATGAATGATGGTTGGCCTGCCGTTGTCTGGGGTATTACACCAGCATTTTCGCCGTCTGACTGCGGCTTTTCGAGAATAGACCGACGCCTCTGGCCACCGTGCGAAGTCTTCTTAGCGGACGGGCTTAAAGTGAGGAAGGTCACTACGCCATCCTCCCCAATGTCACCAAAAGATTCGCGGAGAATGCTTGCTGCTCTGCCAAATGTTTTGATATGCGAGCGCGACTCCCCATCATCCTCGACCTTGGTCCACGCATCCTCCGAATCTGATGATTGTCCCGATGTGTTGCCATCCTCGCCGAGGGAATTCCAAGACGCTTTCTGAGCCACCAAGCGATACTCGCTTGACGGTTGACGGTCGCGCATTCCGTCCACGCTTGGGGTATCGCTACCATTGAGCATCTTTGATCCTCTCTTGAGAGATTTTTCCGCTTGATGCGCCGACACGTGGATAGTCTTCTTACCAGCGATGAACGCTTCGAGACCTTCCGCCAAGCGACGGCATCGGTATCCTTCGATTGCCTGTCTGTTGGTTTCTAGATGCATCATTATTTGTCGGGCAGAATCGGCCATAAACTTCTCCTCGTCACCTGTGAGGCCATTTGGGCGGGGCTTAGTGTCCATGATAGCCAGACTGCCAATGTTGATTCCTTCCCTTGTCGTAATTGGGACACCGGCATAGAACCTATAATATGGATGTCCCGTCACGATTTCCATATGCGAGAAATCGGACTGCGCCAGGTCCGGAATGATAAACATTGGTGTAGACCCGGAGCCCTCGCTTCGCTCCTTGATTGTCAATTCGCATATTCTTCCTTTCAATGGCACCGAGCTACACCTCATGAGAATGGGATCTTCCACGAACTCATATGTTGTGTCGTCGCCCCCTCCTTTGGCTTCCTTTGTCGCCTCGGCCAGGAAATACATGAGGTCTCGGTCCATCACGTTGAGCATCGATTTCCTGCAGTTGCAGCGAAGGACCGCGAGCTGACAGAAGGGAGCCAGCGCATTACTAAGGCTAGGGACATTGCCGGAGGCATGGCGGTGGAGTGAGTCGTGTCGTTGGGCGTCAGGGTGAATGAGATTGTCTGGTTGGAGGTAGTGGTAGAATTCTCGTGCTCGTTGTACATCGCCCAGACTGAAGTCGACAGGTTGGATTGAAAAGCCGCTTGGGTCGGTGCCGGCGCTGTTGGCCATGGTTTGTCGCGGGGGGTCAGAGATGACAGGTGCTGCGTCGGTACGCAGAAACAGTCAATGGCGGGATCATGCCTAGGATGCGAAGGAGTAGACGCTGAAAGAGTGAGGTCTCAGGCATTACCAGAGGTAAGTTAGAGTGCGCAGAGTTGCTGTGGTGGAGTGAACGCAAAGTCTACCTGGGGTTTCTGTGAAGGGTGCAGTGGCCAGGCCTCGTACTCGGATGCATCGCGCCTTGCCAAACGGAGCAGCAGGTAGATGGGACGGGACCGGCGCCCGCTGTCGCAGAGATCGTCGACCACGGAAGCGTTGGGAATCATTGGGCCCTTTTCACGGGAGCGGAAAAGAATAGGCAAATACGAGCGAGAAACTCGTGGCCTCGAGGTGTTCTAGACCGTCTGACTTTTGGCCCGGATCGCGATATGTGTATTGTACAATATGCACGGAGTACGTGGACTTATCATGCCTAGGAGACAGGGGTCGATGAGGGGCATTTAGTTATCGCGAGCCCCCAATCATCAGCGCCCAGAGCCCCAATTCCAGCCCTGTTGCATGCAGCTAAGTCCCTGGAAAATCTACCGAGCCAGGTACGCCACAACCCAGCAAGCCTAATCGCCCTCTCCAGGGACCCCGGTCACCCGTTCCAATTCCAGCCGCCAGCCGTAGAGCCTAACTGGCTAGCCTGAGTGAGGATTTTCAAACATCTTCAGCCTTTTTGTCCAGAGGGCGTGTTCTCGATACAGTTGGAACGAGTAGAGTACTCTGCCTCGTGGTCACCTTGGGGACAAGCCATGTTGACCCGATCATGGCAAAGTGTGTCCTCCGTTGCTGCTTTGCGCCCACCGCCGCTCTTGTGCAGTGCCAGACAACAGGACGCCGTATTTGGCACTGTACGGGACTTTTGGTCCTTCGTCCTCAGTTGGTCATCCCTAGTCATGAGCGGAGAGGACTCGAGCGGAGAGGACTTGACCCGACAGTCTGGTGGTGGCCAATGACTGGTAAATACCATCGCTGTTGGAATGGTATGCACCCTTCGATGGCAGTTTTTCATCTGAATGAATCATTTTTGGTCTTCATCTGTCCGTCGTTGGAGCCTGCTCCTCCAACAGACCCGCCTCTTGCAACTTCTCTTGCTCCGCTCGTCGCAGTGCGGCGATCTTCTGGAGCCTGTATTTTTCCTTGACCTCATTTACTCTATGCTCCTTTTGTTCAGGACTCAATCTAGCTTGATCCGCAAGGGTCTCAGCTTGAGCGACAGCCTCTCTTACCTGGTCGTCTTGTTGGCTTCCAACTCTTATCAAGATATGCCATCGACGCCAGAACGTGTCTTGGTTTTTCTTCTCGTTGCGAGCGTCATTGAGCCAAAATTCAGTGATGTTTTTGACATGTGTCGTATCGGCCAGTGGTATCTCGTACCGCGCACTCTGATCATGAACGCGGCCTAACCATTCCCTCATGACTTCTGGTCGAGCGTCGGCAGTACCAGGAAGGTGAACGAGGAGATCTCCGGGTTCGTAATAACCATGCTTCCATTCCCACTCTGGCGGGACTGTGTTGTCAATGCCGAAATTTTGGTACGCGTTGAACCATCGTTGCGGGACGTGTGTTGTGTTCATTCCCCATTTCTCCTAGAGCGAGATTAATTTACGCTCCGCAGTACGCGGTCAGCTAGACACTCACCTCTTGGATCAGCCACTCCATAGCCGTCTGTTCGGAATATCGCAATACTCTGTCAGGGTGAAAGTTGGTATACGACATGACCGCCGAAAGATACCACATGGACCACTCATGAACACGCAGGAAGAAGACTCCAGCGTTCAGACCATTCAGATCATTCGCTACGATGTGATGAATGTGAGAAAACTCAGGGGGCGGCAAAAATATCTCGAGTGGAATGTTCGAATTCATCAGGACCAGGTCAGCGTCGTGCCAAAAGAGCCATTCCAGACGTTCACCCATGGGTTTGGCCAACTCTTGCAGCAGGACCGACAGGATGAATGCCTGCTTCGACCAGATATCGGGCACGATTTCATGACGCAAGACGAAGTGTTTGTAACCGAACCGCATGTTGTGTATTCTGTGCCCTGCGAGTGCCTGCTCGTACCAGAAGGTCTCCTTAGACACTTCGTTGTAGTACAGCATGGACAATTTCCCAATCTTGGAGTAGAGGCTTCCCTCCGCACTTGGGCTGATTTCTTTATCATGCTCTGTCAATGCCTTTGCAGTTGGTACTCGCGGGTCGTCGATCGGCTGGAAGGCTTCATCGCCGGGTGCCATGGGATGGGTGGCAACACGATCCCCCGTGGGGTCGGTATATTTGGCGGGCATTGTAGCAGGGGAATCGACGATAGGAGTCTCGAGGACTCGAGGTGCGACTTGGCCTTGTTGCTGTTCCGGTTCCCATCTTGAGCTTGTCGCGTACAATATCAGCATAATGAGGGCCGTGGCGAGGAGGATGACTCGCGCAAGGCGGTAGCGCCCACGGAAGGACACATTGTGTCCTGTTGTCATCGTTCTATCCGTCACGGCATTCCTTACAATACTCAATACTGGGTGAGAGCAGTATGTAGCATGCGACGGGTTTATTTCAACGGATCGACTCTCAGCACCTACAAGTACGTTATTCCTTCGCGAATACAGCCTACTAGCCCAGGCCCCAGAGAACCCACATTTGCCCCTGGCCCCCCTAATTGCTTGTTAATAATAGCTTCGCCTTGACTCAAAAAGGCCAAGGGGAGCCAACGTCACAGATGGACTTTTCTCATTCGAAGAGAGACGAGAGCCGCACGATCCGGGATCCAGTCTTTAGGTCAAAATTTTTCTAGGCGAAGTTCTAGAGGGCGGAAAACAACCCCCGGCGAGATTCAGCACGATTCATGGTCCCAAAGTCCCGTGAGTCTATGACCATTGATCACTGGTCGCTGACCACCATATCATACATGGAGTAATGTAAGCACAGAGTACGAGGATACTGAACATGAAGTCGAGACTGTAAACAGTTAAAACGGCTGCAAATCCCAGCAAATGGAGTGCGTCGCAGTCTTGTTCGATTCAAGGATTCTTACCCCAGTACTGTGGTACAAGTACAGCTTCAAGTCCTGGTGACTTGCCGGGTCAGATGTTGGTATGAGCGAGATGTTGACCAATCTATTTCTGAATGCAGGGTAATTAGGAGATTATGGCTTAGCAGATTAACAGAGCAAACTCACCACTGTCTCATTTGAAGTTGACTTTGGCGTTGACGTCCACCCATCAAAACATGTCTAGAGTGAGCGAATGCAGAGGACAAGAATGATCTAGGCCTCCGGCACTTATCAAAAGAGCGTAATCTTACTATTGGGGCCCGGGCTGTCAACTTTGCTTAGATGGTAGGTATACTTGTAGATCAAGCAGGTGTTATGAGGTAGTCCGTCGAGAAAACAACTTTACATGATTGTACTGTAAAAGAGAGGTGAAGTCGGCGAAGCTCTAGGCCCAACTCATTTTGTTATTTTTTCACTGTATATACTATTGTTCCTCCTATCAGGCTCTGTGGTGACTATTGTACAATTAGGTGCCTTATCGAGGTAAATCCGGGGAATGCGCCAAATGTCAAATGGCGTTGCAGGGGAATATGAGTGCTCGGATGCGGGCACCTTTTAGGCGTCTAATAGGCATCTGAGGGAGCCAGTCGGTGCCCCAGCAGGCCTATTGGAACCCTCACAGGTAGCGGCGCGGTGCCTATTGTGCTGCTGGTGGGCCAACACCCAAGGCCCAGATGCGAGTACAGATGTCTACATTCCCCAGTGCTGCCACTCACACTCGTCGCCCTCTGCGCCGCGGCCTCGTTGTCTGTCGGTTTGCGCCGCTTCCTTGCAGGGTCTTCCCATCACCCTCACATTTTCCCTCTACCCTCACTTTCACCTCTTCCTTCGACTTGCATGATTCACCATCATCTTTTCCTTTGGAGTTTGGGGACGATGATGGTTTCTATTCAACACCCTTTTGGTGCCTTCGACCGATACTAATCCTTACCTTTCTCGTTCTTCCCTCGTCCCTCGGCTGTTGCCTGTTATCGAAACAATCATCCCAACAACGATTGATGCTGGATTAGATACTTGCCTCGACCGACTTCGCTACCATGGCCGCTCCTCCCTCCAAACAATGGGGCATGACTCCCCCCATGTCGACTGCGCTCCCCGAACCCATCGACACTGAAAAGACGGCGGATTTGATTGAAGAATTGAAGAAAGAGAACAACTATGAACCTCTCGAAGCAACCCAGAAAAGAATGGCTACGCTCGGCTTGCTCAATCGAGTTACTCAAGAATTCGTGCGTGAAGTGAGTCGCCGGCGCAGGATGCCCCCGTCTCAGATCGAGCAGTTTGGTGGCAAGATTTTCCCTTATGGAAGTTATCGTCTAGGAGTATTCGGACCTGGTGTGTTTTGATCCACGCTTACCATTGGACCAACTCACTGACATTCGATAGGATCTGATATTGATACTCTGGCCGTGGCTCCAAGGCATGTCACGCGCGAAGACTTCTTCGAATACTTTCCAACCGTGCTCAAACGAATGACAGCCGAGGGTGACATTTCATCGCTCACACCTGTGCCAGACTCTTATGTCCCCATCATCAAGCTGGTCTTGAACGATATTGAAATTGACCTGATCTTTGCCTCGATTGCGAGTCTCCAAACCATCCCCAAGAACCTGACCTTGAACGACAACAACCTGCTCACTGGACTTGATCAAGCAACGATCCGAGCAGTCACCGGGCCACGTGTGACCGATGAGATCTTGAGCTTGGTGCCTGAACAGAAGACCTTCCGAACCGCTTTGAGAGCCATCAAACTTTGGGCCCAACGAAGAGCTGTGTACGCCAATATTGTTGGTTATCCTGGTGGTGTGGCGTGGGCGATGTTGGTTGCAAGAGTATGCCAATTGTACCCACACGCAGTTGGTGCCACGCTCGTGGACAAATTCTTCTTCGTCATGAAGAACTGGGATTGGCCGACGCCAGTCATGTTGAAGGACATTGAACAGCCGAAGCCCTCACAAGCAAATGAATTCAAGGTGTGGAATCCGGCCCTCTACAAGGGTGACAAGAAGATGTTGATGCCTATCATCACCCCTGCCTTCCCCAGTATGTCGGCCACATACAACATTTCCAAGTCTGGCAAGACCGTCATCCTACGCGAACTGGAAAGAGCGAGCCAGATCACAAACAACATCTTTGCTGGCAAAGCACGTTGGAGTGATCTATTCAAAAAGCATTCTTTCTTCACCGCCGATCACAAGTACTACTTGGGAGTCACTGCGAGTACGCTCAACGCTGACTCAGCTAAACAATGGGCAGGCCTTGTTGAGTCCAAGGTCCGCATTTTTGTAATGCTGTTGGAGGGCATTCCAGATATCACATTGGCCCGTCCGTTCACCAAGGGCTTCAAGAGGGTCCACAAGTGTGCAGACGAGACTCAAATTCGAGAAGTTCAGAAGGGCAGCATGAAATACAAGTTTGAAGAGACGAAAACCGTCGAAACCACCGATCCGGAACTGGTCACCAGTAATGGTGATGGGGCGGCTGTCCCTGCAGCCAACGGTGCGAAGCCAGAAACAGATCAAGGCGCTCATACCGTATATACATACACCTTCTACATCGGTATCGACACGACTGCCAAAGGAAGCCTCAATATCGCGCCCTCTTTTCAGAACTTCAAAGACATTTGCGAAGGCTGGGCAAGCTTCAACCGAGACTCCCACTTCCTCACCCTCGCATCCGTCAAGTGGTAAGACCACTGTTTCACCTTGGTTATTGTTTCACATACTGACTGCAACAGTTGGGACCTACCCGATGATGTTTTCGATGCCAAGGCTGGTGAAGTCAAACCCAGCAGACCTGTGAAGAAGGTGGCTAAGCAGGTCAAGGCGGAGGCTAAGTCGGGGGTGAGAAGAAGCATCAACGAAGTTGAGGTAAGTAATTTCACCTCAGGATCTCCGGATTTCCATGGCTTAAATACTAACACATTCAAACCAGGCTACTGAGACCAACGGTGATGCCGCAAAGCGGCAGAAATTGATGACACCCACACCTACACCTACACCTACTCCTGCTCCAAAACCTACTGCAGCCCCGGCTTGATTGAGAGAGATAAGCTGACCAGCAGCACCATTTCCACACTGTGGCGGCCTCCAACTGGGCCTCGGAAGATGACCAGGCGTGGGCTCGCAATGCGACCACTCTCCTTGCTTTGGAGCATAGTTGCTCCTCAGATGTCCATCGTCATGAAACACCAAAAAAAGGTGAAAAGACAAAAAGACAAAAAAAGAAATGAAAATGTTGCAGCCAAAAAGAGCTGACAACAACCCAAGTGAAGTACCGTAGTTACTGAAGAGACTAACCTGCAAACAGCACATTATGCATCAGAGCACCGTGCAACAGCAGATTAGACTTCGTTCGGAGGGAATGATACGATCAAGCCCACGGGAGGCATGCGCTCTCAACTATACAGCTAGATTTTCCAAGGGCGCCTGGAGAATGGTGGCAGTCGAGAATGGCGATGGTCACGGACAGTCAAAGTGCTGCCGAGACGGATATCCTATCTTCCAAGATACCACAAGCAAGCAGGTCCGAATTTGCTGCATATGTACATAATATCCACAAACAACCTGGGGTCTCCCTGCAAGCAGACAGACAGATACCAGAATAATATCGAATCGAAACTCTGGGGTTTGCGATCTCGTAAGAAAAAGAAAGGCCCACGGTGCAACTACACGACGGCACTGATTCCTGATTTCATGTTGTTCAGCAGACCCAGCACGGTGTGGCAGTACCACCAACCTGTTCAGTGCTTATTCATCTTGGTTTAGTCGATATTCTGGACTAACTCAATCTTCTCCTAAGGCTTCTTCTTGGCTCATGCTGGGAGGCCTCAGGCGTCATCTCACAGTCTCAACCGCTCTGCCCCTGTGGGATCCCACCATCTCTGTATGTACTGTACTGAGTCCTGGCCCTGGGGATCGCCAACTCGCACATTTCCGGAAGCTGTGGCGTCTTGTTGCTGAGAAGCCATTGGCCACGGTGATTTAGCACGCTTCTCAGCTGAGTTCCGGCGCGCCGTCAGAAATGGAGTGCTCGTACGGAGTACACAAAAAGACTCAGATCAACATAAGGCTGTAAAATGGGCGTCAGCTGAGCTACCCGCCAAAGAGTTATGGGTGTGCAGCTTCATGCCCGCCTGAGCGTGGCACTGAGGGAGGCGGTCAGATTCGACACTCGTTTAGCAATAGTTGCTCGGCGAGGATGAGCGCTGTACGACGTGCTTACCTGGCAACTGGTGGCCCGCCTAATATAAAGCCTCCGCCCCTTACAAAGACGCGCGTTTCAGTACCTACATCTTTCAGAAAGCACATTCCATTCACAGGATGGCCACCAAGACATCCAAAAAGCGCATCATTATTTGCTGCGATGGGACATGGATGGACAGCGATGGTGATTACCAGACACCAAGCAATGTCACGCGAATCGCTCGTGCAATCCCGCCAGTAGGATTTGACAAGACCACCGATCCTCCACAGGCTATTCACCAGATCGTCTTCTATCAGAACGGCGTGGGAACGGGAGACAATTCGCTCTACAATAGATATATCGGCGGTGCGACTGGGGAGGGCCTCGCCGAACACATCCGCGAAGCGTATAGTTTCGTTGCTCTCAACTACAGCGAGGGCGATGAGATCTTCATCATTGGCTTCTCACGAGGAGCCTTCACCGCACGGTCGATATCTAGCTTGATCAATGCCGTTGGGCTGCTGACGTCGAAAGGCTTGGAGTACTTTGTCCAAGTGTTCGAGGATTGGGAGTTTCAGCAGAGACAGGACTTTGTCTCCAAGTGGCCCAACATTCCCTTTCCTGGACACAAGCCACCAGTCACCGATGCACAGTATCAGCAGCATCTGATCGAGAACAATCTCACCCGACCAGGCATCAAGATCAAATGCGTCGCTGTCTGGGACACGGTCGGAGGTCTGGGCATCCCAATGATCGGACTCCTTCCGCAACCACCGAGCAAGGACTTTGCGTTTGTAGACACGCGCGTCGAGTCCAATATCGAGTACGCGTTCCAGGCGCTCGCGCTGGATGAACACCGCCGAGCATACTCTCCCACCATCTGGGAGTGGCCCAGCGTTGAGCCCAACGAGCTCAAAGTCTTGAAACAGACCTGGTTCCCGGGGGTGCACAGCGACATTGGGGGGAGCTACGACGACACGGCGCTCGCCAACCTCACGCTTGCGTGGATGGTGTCGCAGCTCGACCCGATTCTCACGGTCGACCACTCTTACATCTTTACCCTGATCGAACGACAGAGCCGCCACGCTGGCCCTCGGGGCCATCTGACCTTTACGCACGAAGGGATGCCGAAGCGCGTCGAGAACACGGCACCCCACAGCCGGCCGTGGGGGCTGGGCAAGATCCACAACAGCATGACGCCGTTCTTCCGGCTCGGGGGCTCCCGCATCCGCACCCCGGGCGAGTATCGCGAGGCGGAACTCGCTTCCCAACGCGGCACGCTTGTGTGGATGTTCCGCACGATCGCCAGCAAGGTGTTTGGGGGGCTCGACAAACCCACACCGAGATTGAAACGGACAAACGAGACGGTCCACGCCAGCGTTCGCATCCGCCGGGGCAAGCACGGCTACGGGTACAACGACAAAGGCACGTACGACCCCCCGGCCCTGAAAGGGTGGGTGTTGCACGGGACCGAAACGAACCCGGACACGCCTATCGCCATCAACACCCCGGGCCAGGTCGGCAAGATGACGGGCGTGGTGTACAAGAAGGTGGTATCTCCCGAGGTCACCGAGAGAAAGGGGAAGGGGAAGGGGAAGGGGAAAGCGAGAGTCAGGGTCCTCGACGAGCACGACAAGGACCACACCCTGGAGCTGCGTGAAGAGCCGTTGGGTGTGTTTGAGAGGCAGATTCTCCAGCTGTGGCCTGAGATCCAGAGGGACTTTGACAGTATTGGATCGGAGGGGGCTCGGCTCGATCGAGTACAGACTTATCCCATCAATCAACGTGCCGGAGCGCCTGGTACTAACGGTGGTTTGGACGGATTGAGCGTCAAGACGAAGCAGCCCGGGAAGAGAAGCGAAACGTCATGAAGAGCCAGCGAGGATGTTGGTCCTGGATGTAGTCGCGCGAAGATGGGCAAAATGGCGCGTTGGAACTCTTTGTATCCGCATTTATTACAGCGGAAGGACTTCATTTAGCTTGGAAGGACTGATGTGGTTTTCAAAGGGATAGTACACAGTATGTAAGCAAACAGTAACATCTAATCATCACATGAAAATTCAGGGATTCTTCAAGTCGTTGTCCGTTTGGGGGGTAAAACACCGCCAGCAATGAGTTTTGTCGATCCTAAATCGATGCCTCTTCGATGCTCTTCACCCATTCGGACTTGACCTGCTCATAGAATTCATCATCCACGGCGGCATCCCAGCCTAGCAACGCCAGGATTTTGCCTGTCACCAACGCCGACTCATGGGCTGCAGGCTGTCCAGCCGCATCGGCAAAAGAGGCATGATGCGGAAAACTCCCTTCTGGGCAGGGAATAGCAAACATCGAGTGGAGCGTTGGAACGGCGTAGCTGATGTTACCTGTACCACAAGCATCAGTCAGTCAGATACCCGTTCATCGTCAGGTATTGAGCTTCTCCGACGCATTCTGTGTTTTCAGCAACGTACCAATGTCCGACGATCCGGTCATAACCTCCGGAGTGGTTGCGAGCACATTCAAGCCGTACGCGTCGCCGTGAGCTTTGTATCGCTGGCACAACGTGTCGTTGAGGACGATGTCTGCGTAGTACGCTTCCCTTTTACCAGTAACCACCGTTAGCATAACCTGATCGATCCGCAATCCGGGCGTCGTGCCACTGCAGACCGGGTCTATTTGTGGTGATGTGCGAGCATGTTGGTGGACGTGACTTACTTTTCAATTTTGACCGTGCAGCCCGTCGCCAGCGCGCCAGCCTCGATGCACTTGGTGACTCTGGAGGTCAAGGCTGCCAAGGACTTCAACGTCTCGCTTCTGGCGATGAACATTGCTCGAATGTGAGCGGGGATGACGTTTGCGACCTTGGGAGAGTCGAGAACCGCAGAATGGATACGGTCGGTGTCACGGGTTTGCTGGCGAAGCATGGAAAGGTTGTTGTACGAGGCCACAAAGGCATCCAGTGCGTTGATTCCGTCCCAGGGATTGCCACCAGCATGGGCGTTCTTGCCTTCAAAGTCACAGAAGAGTTGTTCTCGAGCCACCATGCGGACACCACCAATCCCGTCACACGGTCGATGATTTCCCATTTTGCTCGGTCCCCCGTGGCTGGAGCGAGTAGGTCGAAGGTCAGCATTCATCCTCGTCACAAACTAGAACGTATGGCCCTTGACTTACGCCATCAGAGAGACATCGACGCCCTTGTATGCTCCGGCTTTAAGCAGGTCAACTTTGCCTCCACCAGATTCCTCTGCTGGAGTTCCAAGTAGTTGCGTCCTGCCGGGGATTCCCATATCCCTGAGGGTAAATGACAGAGCGAGAAAAGCGGCTACACTGCTTGTGGCGATCAAGTTGTGGCCGCATGCGTGACCGATGTTGGGCAGCGCATCATACTCTGCGTTGAAGTTCACCAGGCGGCCACCAGAGCCGCTCCGTGCCTCGAAGGCGGTCTCGATTCCATAGGCATGACGAGTGACTGTGAAACCCTGAGCTTCGAGGAAATCACAGATCGTGTCGTGCGCTTTGTACTCCTTGAAGCCGAGTTCAGGGTTGCTCCATATCTAGAAAGCCATCAGAGAGCCCCATCAAATAGGTCTGCTGGTGTGTCGCACGTACTTTGTGATTGACCTGCCAGAGGTCCTCGTTCAGTTTCGCAATCAAAGCGTCCACGCGTCCCTTGACTTCTTGCGTGGTGGGTAGTCGGGCAATCATCTTGGACAATTATCTTGACTCCTATCGTCAAAGTCATGGCAGAAACCCATCACAGTATGCGTCTCTCCTTAAATATGTCTACCAGTGACACAGTATCCCGCTCCCTCTCCTCCCAAGCAATACAGTATGCATCGGCAGACTCAAGACCCACACGATGCTTTACTGTGGAGAGTGCCAGTATATCATTTGCCGATGCAGCCAATCTTCGTCGAGAGTTTGCCGAGATAACGACTGGCGAGTCTCCCTCGGCTCCCGCTATAATCCGATGAGGATAGCAATACCTCGTATTGTCGAGATTGCCGACCTCAGCCTTAAATGTAGATCCGCGGGTCCAATCGGATCCATTTGTCGAATCTCGAGTCCGGCATTGATACACAGCTGAAGCAAAAGCTTCGGGTGTTGAAGATAAGAGCGTGTATATTGAACAAGCAACAGAGTCCGGTCATGGTGTATTTAAGGGAGGTCCAGGTCAACGTTGTGAGAGATATCGCAAGTTCTCAACCGAGCAAGCTGTTTCATCGTTTCGTCAATCACCACACCGACTAGTTGGATCCAGGAACCGATATGTGGACAGCCAACTCCGTCGCTGAGGTCCCTGCTTCAAAGGAGAAGATGGCAAGCTATACCGGCTCTATCGAGGCCAAGGACGTAGACATGCAACTGGGAGAGATATCGACCACTGCCCTTAGCAGTGCGGACAACAAGCGAGTTCTTCGTCGCATCGACTACTGGTACGACCTCTCTACTTTGGTTGTGATTGAGCCTGAGGTTGCTGACAATTACCAGCATAATCCCATTGATGGGTTTCTGCTACATGTTGCAATTCATGGACAAACTGGCTCTCAGTCAGGCCACTCTCCTAGGCCTCCGTAAGGACATTGTGAGTCTCGTCCGGTGTTACTTTGGCATCGAAACGATCTAACCATCGACCTTGCTCGCAGCATCTTCATGGCTCTGAGTACTCTTGGTGCTCTGCTGTGTTCTATTTTGGCTACCTGGCTTGGAGCTGGCCAAGTTCGTATTTGATCGTTCGATTTCCCACAGGAAAATACGCTTCTGTGATGGTGTAAGTCTTCGTTCTAATGACACCTTGAGTCAACGTTCTAACAGAAGTAACTCCAGATTCATATGGGGCGTCATCCTCATGTGCCATGCAGCGTGCCAAAGCTTTGCGGGATTGATGACTGCGAGATTCTTTCTGGGAGTGGGAGAGGCTTGTCTGGCTCCTGCATTCGCCTTGATAACGGGCATGTTCTACACCCGTAAAGAGCAGCCGATTCGGTAAGCTCCATTCAAGCGAGAGACCTGTATTCCACAACTGACACCGGCATTGACAGTCAAGGCGCGTGGTTCATTGGTAATTGCATCGCGAACATGTTTGGCGGTCTGATCGCCTATGGAATTGGGAACATTACGACTTCTTCTTTGGAGACCTGGCGTCTTTTGTTTCTCATCCTCGGATCCGTCACATCGGCGTATGCGATCGTCCTTTTCTTGTTCCTCCCGGACTCGCCACAACAGGCTCGTTTTCTCAAGGAACAGGATCGGCAGATCGCCGTTGCCCGCACACTGGCCAACAACACCGGTGTCCTCGACCAGGACAAATTCGTCATGGCACAGCTATGGGAGGCCCTCCTCGATCCTCAGACGTGGGCTCTGTTTCTATACACGGCCTCAGTGAATATTGCAAACGGCGGCTTGACAAGCGTGAGTCTTTACCCCTGATCAGAAGAGATAAATGTTGACAATGATCTTCTGCTGCAGTTCGGCGCTATTGTGATTGCAGGGTTTGGGTTTTCTGATCTCAAAGCACTTCTGATTCAGATGCCTATGGGGGCCACCCAACTGGTCTTTTTGGTCTTGACCTCTGGGCTCGCCAGTTTCCTTCCATCGTCACGGATCGCCCTCATGATGTTCAATACTCTGGTATCCGTGGCTGGCATGGCAGTGGTGTATGCGACCGAAGGAAAAGCCTCACGTATGGCAGGCCTGTGTCTGGCCACAGCCTTTGCAACCAACATCCCTCTCACGTTGTCCTTGGTTAGTTCAAACGTCGGGGGCTTTACCAAGCGCTCGGTCACCAGCGCCTCGATCTTTGTAGCATACTGCACGGGAAACATTATCGGCCCAAACCTGTTCAAGTCCAGTCAGGAACCAAAGTACCAGGTATGTGCCTGCCTGCCGAGGCGTCTTGGGAATTACCACCGCAGTTCAACTTACTAACATTGACATAGGACGGACTCATAGCCTCTGTCTCGGGCCTGGCACTTGGCGTTGTCTTCTTGGCCACTCTGTTGTTATATTATATCTGGGAAAACCGCCGTCGGGACAGATTGGAAAACTCGCATTCGCCATCGACATCACTTGGAGAGCAGCCCGGCGAGATGTCGAACAAGACGGACAAACAACTCACCTTCAGGTATGTGCTGTAAATAGCCAAAACATTCAACAAAGGCAATCTTCAACGACGGAAACCAGGCATGACGAGAAGTTTTGATCAACTGTTGTCATTTCTAGCAGGATAGATAGAGTAACCACACTAAAAGGGGAAAGTGTTTGTCAGTGGAAGTCGCTGCCCTTTATCTCTAATCTCTTATCTCTTATCTCGGAAAAATAATAGTCCGGCTCTCCGTAGCGAGACGAGGGGTTGGTGTCAAGCAACCTCGGAGCTCTTCGTCCTTTTTCTTTTCATTAATCAATCTCGACATAGGTCCCTATGATTGGGGCGTCCTAGAGTTTTGGCAAGCAGAATGCTTCCTCGGTTCGGTCGACATGGCCCAAGGTCCAAGAGAGGTAAAACAGCTCCATCCATGCAGTGAGTGTCTCCACCGTAGACTGAACAAAGTCCATAGGCTGCACGACCTGCCGAACGCGAAAACTCAAGTGTGACGAAAGAAGACCATTGTGCACACGATGTGAGCGTGTAAACATCATATGCGAGTGGGATAAGCCAGCCCAGCGACGTCGACCACGAGATTCCAGTCGAACCGCGGAACCGGCTTCCACTCCCTCCAGCACGGCTGACACAGCTCGACCCCTGATGGAAGCCTCACCAGCTAGTGACGAACTAGAATCACTGTTCTATTCAGGGCCCGAATCAGGGCCCAGTGTGCTTGGGCACGGTGAGAAACAAGATGGCGATCCGAGGCTTGTCTCACCAAGCAGCCAGCAGATCAACGTGGTCTACAGCGCCAGGACTAGCTCCCCCCGATCCGCACTCTCGACCAGCCATATCCCTCTGCCAAATTCGTTAATACTCTCTCAGCAGGATTGTGAGTGCTTCCAGTATATTCCCGATTCATTCCTCGTCCAGTTCATCGGGAAACCATGGCAGTGGAGCATGCTTTCCTACATTCACTCAAGGATTGCGAGTTACGAACAGGGAGTCATGAGGGCGTTTATTGCATTGGCTTCTGTGGAGCTTCGCTGTAGGTATGTATCTCAGTCTGGGGATCCTGGTGGCGTTGAGACTTCACGGCAGCAAGAGATGCTCGCTACCGATCATTACCACAACGCCCTGGGAGATCTATCACGTCTTGTGGATCGAGCCTCGCGGCCGGAGAGAACTGAACAGGACCTTGATTCTTTGTTTGCCACGTGGTTCCTTCTCCTCTGGGTTGGATACTATAATGTCGAGCTGGCCCGTGCCTCTCAGGTTCACCTGAGCGGCATCCGCAGCTTTCTCCTGGGAGATGTCCATGGTCCTACAGGCCAACTGTGTCTTCCACCGGCATCACAACAACTGCTCTATTTCATCTCGTTTGTCTCTCAAGCACTTTGCACCCGTAGCAACAAGGACTAACCTCCAATAGAATGGTTGATACGAATCTTGCACTTGGCAACCTAGGCGTGGGCCAACTGACGCAAGATCTTTTGAAGGCCGATTCACACCTGCACCAAGATCGATTGTTTCAAGCAGCGCGCACATGTCTCCCAAGGATGTGGGGGCCGGAGTACCCTGCGGAGCAGCTACTGGATGATCTCGAGAACTACCGACCGCTGAGCTTTATGCAGGCATGCGCCAAGCTTAAGGTGGAGGTGTGGACTTTGGGCAAGGCCTTGAGGAGCGTGGCCGTTGACCAGAGCAGCCTTGACCAACTGTGGCAGAAGATAAAGCGCGATGGCGAGGTAATGTTATCTCGCAGTTTGTGGAATGGGAAACCGGTCGCTGATTTCTTTTCGTGATCAATAGGCGTTCATGGATGTACTCACAGTGGCTCGGATCGCCACGAACACAGGAGGACGCCGAGTCCTGTGGACAATCTACCACGGTGCACTCGAATATTATGCTATCCAGATATTGTTCTCTTGTCTGGGTGACTGCAAGGATACGTTTCCTTCTTGGCTTGACAGCACCTTAACAGATCTCCTAGGGATCGCGTACAAAGCAATAGGAGAGAAGCCGATCATGATCTACCGATACGCCTGGCCTTTGGTCATGGCTTTGATGAGGATCCGCGACCCAATCCATAGAGAATGGGTCGCTACGCAGGTGAAGCAAGCAAGCGTACTCATTGGAAACCTGGGAATTCCCAGGGATCTGTTCGAAGGGAGTCCGCCGACGACAGCTCGCTCTTTCGGCCCTCCGTATCAGGGTTCTGAGGTGCAAGAACAATAATGCTCCTAAATCCGACATCAAGGAATCAACTAATAAAATGTCCACCCAGTAGCTTTTACTATGCATCAACAACGCAATTGACGTTGTACTATCGACACCTCGCATAGTGGTTGTACCCATAGTCCTACCCGAAACCCCCCTACGCTAGCGAGTCAAGGGTGAGCAAGGGCGGCTTCACCCATGTTTCCTGGACTTGAGTCTGCTCGCCTTTGCTCCGGATCATCCTTCAACAACATCGTCGGCACCAACGAAGCATCCTGAAAATACTTTTCGCTAGAACAAGGGGTATAGCGCAGATATGCTTCAAGGATTTCGCAAGTCCGCTGCAGCTTCAGAGGCTGGATAGACGACGGATGATTGATAACCGTACCGTAAGGCGCGACCACGGCATCCCCTGACGGTATTTCCGGAAATGCAAGCAGAGGGCTCTGTCGAAGTCGAGAACGTGAAGCCAAGACCTGCCACGCCTGATGCCTGTTCAGCTCTTGTTCCACACCTCGTACCTCTCCTCCCCAACACCACCCCTCATTCGAATACGGGTCAAACTTTCCTGGAGACGTCTTACCGTGGTCTGCGACACTGTCATGAGGCTGTAGGATTTCCTTGCTCTCATTGGGCATGTACAAAAGTACGAGGCGTGCTGCCGGCGCTGGTGAGACTGCCAAGTCTGCGGAGAGCAGTCGAAATGCAAATCGGTCCTACAAGGTCACCTTCAAGAGCACCCGACGTCGACCGCCACCTAACGTTGGTCTCAGCTCCTTCTCGTGTTGATGCAGGATTTTTTCGAAGGCTTGCGGCGCTCAAGACCTTTTAGGCGAGAGAAAAGAGAAACACGAGGTATCGAGAGGCTGAGCCGTTCCGGGACTCTCTATCATCCCAGTCTCGGTCTTGGATGACTGCGGGGGATAATGGTGGGTGAAAAGGTATAAGATGGCACGCTATGGTCGAGTTTCAGTCTCGTTCTTTTCTCGATGCCCAAATTTCTATCCTCTGCAACTTCAATAACCTGTCTGGCACCCTCATCTCATTGCAAGTCTACTTTGAGGTTAGCAAACATGTGCTTTGGCTCGAACTCTGATCCTCATGGACCATGCCTTGTCTCGCCGCATCCAAGGGTCCTTGCCGGGACCTCTGGTGGCGAGCGAGATGCGTTACGGAAGCAGATCCCGGGACGCCTACCTCCAGGCGGTCCTACAGGAACGCTCCACGGTCTGAATGATGGCACCATCTTCCCTGAATCACACTATCGACGGGTCCCTGTTCCATCGTCGGCCCGCATGAGCAGAGCGGCTCTAGAGCGGACTCCTTTGAGAGGACCAATTCGGTATGTTTGCATACCTGGGTTTCAAGCATATGGAAAGAGGGGAATGCTAACACTGACTGTCCGTTGCTGTGATGCAGGGTTGTCATCGTCCTTGTCGACTTCTCCGACAAGCCAATGACGACTTCGAGACAACACTTTGAAGACCTCTTCTTCTCAAAGGGCAAGATCCCCACAGGCAGCGTGACTGAGTACTACGAAGACGTCAGCGGCGGTAAAGTCTCGTTCACTGGAGAGGCTATCGGCCCTTTCAGGATGCCTCTCACCTTAGCTCAGTATGCACACAATGCATCTGGTATGGTCGAGGAGGCACCCAACCTGCAAGACCTTGCGGCGCACGCCCTCGCCGCCGTGGATGGAAGCATAGACCTCACGCCGTACGACAACGATCACAACGGCGAGGTCGACGCATTCATCGTGGTCCACGCTGGCAAAGGAGCAGAAGAATTGCCAGCTGGCCCCGAGCGCGATGGTAACATCTGGTCTGCCAAGTGGGTCTTGAGGAACGAAACCCGGGCGGATGGGACCAACGTGTTCGGTTTCCTCACCGTGCCTGAGTTCGCCTACATTGGTGTCTGCGCCCACGAGCTCGGCCACTTGGTCTTTGGATGGCCTGATCTCTACGACATCGACGGCGACGGCGACCCGGAGAACGTTGGTGTGCACTCGGCGGGCGTGGGCGACTGGTGTCTCATGGGAGGCGGTTCTTGGGGTCACCTTCCAGGCAACGAACCAGGGACCACGCCGTGCCAACCGTCTGCGTGGTGCAAGGCGAACCAAGGATGGATCAACCTCGTGGTTGACCAGCAGAACCGCACCATCTCCCTCAAGGATGTCAAGAAGGAGCCTCGTGAAGTCCATCGCCTCTGGACGAACGGCGACACGATCAGCCAGGAGTACTTTTTGATCGAGAATCGGCAGAAAACTGGCTTTGACCGGTCACTCCCGGGACAAGGCTTGCTGGGTAAGTGCTTTCCTCCCTGTACCTTTGTCCGTGGAACTTCGTGGAGTTGTGCGTTTTGCTTTGGTTGAGTTTTGTGTTTTTGCGATCCCCCCAATCCTCCCCTGCTACCCGTGCCTTTTTCTCTCTTGGTGAGATTATTCAACCGGTACTGATGCGGGATTGTCTGTTTGTTTAGTCTGGCACATCGACGACCAGAAGGAAAACAACCGAGACGAAAGGCACTACAAGGTCGGCCTGGTGCAGAGCGACAACCGTCGACAACTCGAGGCGGCAGAGGGCGGGCCCACGGGCAACCGAGGCGACGCGGGAGACCCGTACCCCGGAACCGCGCACAACACGTCCTTTGGCGCCTTCACCAGCCCCAACAGTCGTACTTACGGCGGCCGTGACAGCAAGGTCTCAATCAAGAACATCTCGGCGCCGTCGCAGACCATGACTATGGACGTTGCGGTCAGATCTACATTTCCCGTGGCTGTTGGATCCAAGTTGTGAGAGTGGCATTTGCATTTGATGGAATCGAGTTTTATTCGATGGTGTGTGAAAAAGAAGCTGGTAGAGGCAGAGAGAGTGAACTAGCTCCATAAGTGATGAGTGATTCGAGGCGCAGTACGAGTATGTCTCTAGTTGGTTCAGGCAAACTCCCTCGGACCTGTAGGTTCCCGTAGGGAGTTCGACGATTTCTCACGGATCAAAAGTAGTCAAAATTGATTGATTTGATTTTCAACATGCAACATGCCGCTTTTTTGCATCTTTTTTCAGACTGTTTAAATGTCAACTTGACCTTGCATCGAGATGGGTACTGGGCAAGGTAGTTAAGTGTCCACGTCCAAGTGATTTCTGCACTATTCTGTGCTATGTCCAATTAAATCTTATGGTAGATGGTCTTCATAACTTTGACTTCGCCTTAGCATCGCTTCCTTGGCCCGTGGAGCCTGTTGAGGAAGACGGACCACCAGCCTTACAAGCTCCATCGACCCACGCCATGACCTCGACCAACTTCTCATCTTGCAACCTGGGCACAACGACCTGCACGCTCAAGGGTGTTCCCAGATAGACTCGCCTGTCAATCTTTGTCTCGTCCCACAGGTCCCGGGTCTTCTCGTCCCAACTACTGACTGGCTTGCCTCCCTGCGGCGTGCCCAGCTGGAGATCACGCTCGGTGCAGTCTCTCACGGGAACAGTGCCGGCCGGGTAGTCGAACAGGACCCAGCTGCTCGTCATGCCGACGGCGTTGTATCCTTCGATGGGCGGCACGGGGTGCGGGGCGACGGGGCACACGATGGCGTCGATCTTCTGCGTGCGCCGGCCGTCGGCGTCGTCCTCGACCCAGACCTTGAGCATCTCCCGCTCCAGCTCGGCGCGGAGGGCCTGGAGTTCTGCGACGCGCGTCAGGGGTTGCGGCTTGCCCTTCCGGAAGCGCGTCCGCATCCACGGCACGAGCGGCTCGCCCGTCTTCTCGATCATCTCGGCCATGGTGACGCCGCCGTCAACGCCCATCAGCTTGCTCATGACGGACTGCGCCTTGGTCCACGCCTTAGGGCACGGCAGCTCGACGACCTTGACGTTGGGCGTGCGCGCCAGCCGCCCCGCGACGTCGCTGAGCACGTTGTCTACCGGCGGCAGGAGGGCGCAGTTGCCGTCGCTTCGGAGCACGCCGACCACCAGCTCGCCGTGTTTGCCGCTCCCGTGCGGCGGCTGAGGCGGTTGTTCGTTGGAGTGAACTTTGCCCAGAGGCGGCGACGTCCAGGTCAGGGGCATGCAGTCCTCGCCGAACAGGCGGGCGCGGGGGCCGACCTCGCGCATAAACACGTCAATGTCCTCGACGCTCCGGGCGATTGGGCCCGCCACGGCCTGGATGCTCGTTCTGCTCATCCCGTCGACGCCGGTGAGCGCCTGCCCCCCGTACGGGATGCGACCGTTGGACGGCTTGAACCCGTACACGCCGTTGCACATGGCGGGCACGCGGATGCTGCCGCCAATGTCGGTGCCGATGCCGATCATGCTCCCCTTCATCGCGACGAGGACGCCCTCGCCGCCCGAAGACCCGCCGGCCGTGCAGAGACGGTTGATCGGGTTCATGGTCCGGCCAAAGACGTTGTTGACCGAGTCCAGCGACGCGAGGGTCTGCGGGATGTTAGTTTTGGCGATTATCACACAGCCCAGCGAGAGCAGGAGATCGACCAGTGGAGCGTTGTGCGTGGCGGGTTTGTGGCACAGGGAGGCGATGCCGATGGAAGTGTCAACCCCGGCGACGTCGAATGTGTCCTTGACCGACACCGGGAGGCCGTGCAATGGGCCGAACGGCCGCTTGTGGGTGCGCAGGTAGGTGTCGAGGTACTTGGCGCGCGCAAGTGCCGTGTCAAACAGGGGCTCCGTGAGGCAGTTGGTCAATTGATGTGCTATGGCGGCGCGATGGGCGAATGCTCGGGTTACATCCTCTGCGCTGAGTCGAGACGAGGAGATGGCGGTCAGAAGCGAGGCAATCGTGTATGACTCTGTGATGGACACCTCGGATGGCGAGAGCAGCTTGGACGGGATGTGCATTACATTTTGCGCGCCGTGTGATGGAAGTGGAGGGTCAGATGGGAGTAAGTGTGAGGGTATCGTCCATTGCGAAGGTATGCGAGATGCTCGTTCGGATTGTTTCCGCCGTGCGATGGATTCCCATGCTGCTTCTCGGGTAGGCATTTTGTTAGTTGCGTGTACTATATGCCTTGGAAGTAGATGAGAAGCAGGTAATCAGCAAAGAAGTCTACAGTACATGGTGAAAGATAATGTATGTATGCCTGGTGTAGACGAATCGACCATCTCCGCATTTTCGAAACTGGAAACATGGTGAGCCTCGGTGATGGGTATTACGCACCCGCGGGTTGGTATTACGCGCCCATGGTTACCCCGTCACCAACCCGCGGGTGCGTAATACTCATCACCGTGAACCTCGGCTTGATTACATAACAAGGCACGCCAAGAGTCTAACCGTCCTCAGACTGCACCAGCCTTAGGGGTGCCAGCTTCGAGGGGCTCAGCCTCGCCTTCAGTCCAGCGTGGCAGCGCCGGCCAATTCTTCGCATGTCACGGGTGTAGCCTCGATTTCGTGGATGGAATGGAAGCGAGTTTGTATAGGAGCGATCTGTGCTGCGGTCTGATCAGTTTGGGGTCCAGAGATCGTGGCAAGGACGCAGTTCGGGTCGAAACTGAAGAGACCAGTAACCAGCGCTAATTACTCTCTGCAAGGCTTTGCCCTAGCGGCCAACGCCTTCTCTTCCTGTGGTGTGAGATAGTGTTGACCGATGGCCTTCTTTCGCCTTGCATGGTCAGCCTTCGCGGAGCGGAATAATGTTAAGCCTTGACTGCGCCCTCCCATTCTCTCAGCCTGACCTGCACAATCCTCATCACACTGTTCGAGACCTTCTAGGCTGATAGTCGACGTGTTCAGGCGTCAGTCTCCAAAGCTCATCCATTGTGTTACTACGCGTAGCAAACGAGCAATTCTGAAGGGCGATGTCATGGGCGATCCACTATCCGTCGCCGCTAGCGTGGCCGGCTTGCTGTCCCTCGGCCTGCAGAGTACAGAATATCTATACCATTACTACGCCGCGTGCCGAGATCAACATCGAGATCTCGCCAAAATCGCAGACCAACTCGGCGGCCTCCTCGAGTGCCTCCAGAATATCGACCGGACTATACACACGCGCACATGGCGGCCCAATGAGCAGGCAATCATACAAAGTATTGAAAAGTCCATCACCCGCAGTGAGGACACGATAAACGGGTTACAAGCTGAGGTTGACAAGTTTAAAAAGGAGCCTACGGACGACTGGAAGAAAAAGGCGGTAGTCCTTGGGCGAAGGGCGGCCTACCCATTCAGAAGGAGCACTTTAGAAGATCTCGGCGACGATGTCAGCGATTTTCGGGATAACTTGTCGATCGCGCTACAGGCGCTTCAGCTGAAAGAACATCAAAACACGCAAGACGACATCCAAGAGGTCAATACCATCGTCAAGAACATACAGGCACGAAGTGTCAGTGCCGACCTACAGCAGTGGCTAAAGGCACCGGACGCTACCGTCAACTTCAACGTCGCAGTTGCCAAGCGGCACGCCAGCACCGGCCAATGGTTGGTCCAAGGTCCGGCTTACACCACATGGCTGCTGCAGGACAACTCATTCCTCTGGTTGTATGGCTTCGCTGGCTGTGGCAAGTCCGTGCTGTGTGCGACGGCAATCCAGCACGCCTTTCGTCGCCGACAATTATCCGCCGACAGTGCAGTGGCTTTCTTCTTTTTCGAATTTAGAGACGAGTCGAAACAAGATGCCTCCGCAGCGCTGCGTGCATTGCTGCTCCAACTCTGTGGGCAAGTACCGGACCTGGCAGCAGACTTGACACGCCTGAAAGATTCATATAATCATGGCACTCCACCGGTTCCGGTACTACTGGAATATTTGCGACAAGCCGTGGCCCGGAGCCGCCACACCTACATTCTACTCGACGCACTGGATGAGAGCCCCCTAGATGTGTCACGAGCTGAAGTTCTATCAGTGATTGACACCTTACGACAATGGCAGTTGCCAGGCTTGCACCTCTTGGTCACCAGTCGAGATGCTCCTGACATTCGCGATCACCTGCAAATTTCTACATTTAATCAGAATGTAGAGCATATTTCGCTAAGAAACGAGAGCGTTCGGGACGACATTTCTCGATTTGTAGCATTTCAAGTGGACCACGACCCTCAGCTTCAGCGCTGGGGTGATCATCGAGAACACATCAAAAGCTATCTGACCGAACATGCAGGTGGCGTGTCAGTAATTTCTCTTAAACAGATTTCATGCCATTTGCGGGAGCTGATCAGTGTCTAGATTTCGCTGGGTCGAATGCCAGCTTCGGCCGTTACAGCACTGTCCCCGGAGTGAGAGACATCTTGAAAAATGTCTTCGTACACTGCCCCAGTCGCTCTATGAGACATACGAACGAATACTGTGTAGCCTCGAGTCACGAGAGGAGGCGCAACAAATCCTTATGCTCCTGTGTCATGCATCGCGGCCTCTGTCAGTTGACGAAGTTATCGAGGCTCTCGCCGTGGACATCGATGATCTCGAGTGCTATGACCCTAAAAGGAGATTTACTGGGGGTGCAGATGATATCCTCCGGATTTGTCCTGGTCTCGTTGAGATCACTTTCCATCCAGATGGTGTTCAGGAAGTCCGGATTGAACATTTCTCGGTCCAGGAGTACCTTCTCTCTGATCACATCCGAAACGGTCGAGCGATCGACTTCGCTTTGTCAGGGCCATCGCAGCATGGGCGGATTAGCAGGGTTTGTCTACTATATCTCCAACACGATGAATTTCTGCGACAAGTTCTAAGTCCAGATTTGGTGAGGCAGTATGCCTTTGCGAGATATGCTGCAGCGTGTTGGCACTGGCATTATCGCCAAGCTGACCTTCAATTGGCCCCACAGTTATCGAAAATGGTTAGCACTCTGTTGATGACAGACTGTGCGAAAGAGCGTTGGATCCAGCTACACAACCCAAACCGGCCATGGGACGATGAGGTGGATTATAATATGACTGCCGTAGCTCATCGTTCGGCAATATATTATGCTTCCTTACTTGGCCTTGATGAGGTATTAGTGGTTTTACTGTCTACGTTACCAGGAGATGTCCTCACACAAGGAGACAAGTATGGCCGTGCGCTCGAGGCCGCATCGCGGGGTGGCCATGCAAAGGTGGTGCAGATACTGCTTGACAAGGGTGCTAATGTCAACGCACAGGGAGGTCATTATGACAATGCACTCCAGGCCGCATCATTATATGGCCATGACAAGGTGGTGCAGATATTGCTGAATCATGGAGTCAACGTTGATTATCAATCAGGTCCCTATGGCAATGCACTATATGAAGCATCATACCGTGGCCATAAGAAGGTGGTACAGATGCTACTTGACAATGGAGCTGATGTCAACGCACAAGGGGGTGAGTATGGCAACGCACTTCAGGCTGCATCATCAGGGGGCTGTGAGAAGATAGTGCAGATGCTGCTTCACAATGGAGCTGATGTCAACGCACAAGGAG